ACCCTTCCTTTTTTATCAGAATTAAGTAACTATGCATGCGAAATTTTCTTTAATTTATCATTCTATTATTCTTAAAAGTATTTCCTTTTAAGAATAGAGTGATTAAGTAAATAATTACCTATTTAATTAGGCATAAAGAATTACTTTTTGATAAAATAATCAAGCGTAAATTATTCTAAGTAATTATAATAATACTAATAGTAATAATTAGGCGTAAATAATTACCTATTTAAATAGGAAACAAAATATAAAAAATTCTTGCACCGTCCCTTCCTTTTTTATCACAATCAAGTAATTAGGCAAAATTGGTTATGAAACAAATTACTCCCTTCATTTTTGATCAGAATAGAGTGATTATGCCTGCAAAATTTCCTTTAATTTATCATTCTAAATAGGTAATATTACACAACCAATCATAGCCGTAGGCCCGTAGATCTTGTTTGTTCCTTGATATCGACGGTCCAGGAGATGAGTGCATTGTGCGGGAAAATAATTCCCCTGCTTTTAAGAATATAGTGATAGTGATATTGATAATAAATAGGTGGTGGATGACTTGTTAAAAGGGCAAATAGCGTCGGTGCCCTTCGTGGTTTGCAAAATAGGTACCAATATCCCCTCTGTTTTCAAAACTTATTTCTAAAGTCCTTGTGGTTTCAAAATGCTGCACCCGTGCCCCCTCTGATCATTTTCTGGCCATTTTTCCGGCGAAGAAAGAGGCATTGGTGCATATTTTCTAAACAATAGGGGGTATCAGTGCTGAATTTTATTTCTCGTTTATTTTTTGTTTTTTCCATTTTTCCTTTTTTTTGTTTCATTTATTAATTAGGGTATTTTAAAATTGTTTTTATAATATTATTAAAATTTAAAGTTATTTTTGTTTGAAAAAATAAAATATAATGCATATGTACGTTTGAAATTAACAATTTTTGTTTTTTTATGAAAAAAAGAATTTTTTTTTGAGAACTTCGAAAAAATGAGGAATAAAATAAGAAAAAAAATACAAAAATTAAAATGAATATCTTTCTTGGACATTTCAATTCTAAGGACTTTTTTAGGTGCATCCAAATTTTTTTGTATAAGACTTTTTTTGCGTATTTTAATTTTTTTTCATTTCGTTTTTTCCGTATTTTTATTTTTTTATTCTGCATTTTTTTGAACTTTCCAAAAAATTATTCTAAAAAAAAGTGAAAATGTTTCATTTGAGATAGATGTAATGTATGTTTATTTTTTTATTTTTATTTTTATTTCAAACACAAAGAATTTAAAATTTTTAAAACGTTATAAAAATTGAAAATATATTTTTTAAAAAAATCTAGGAAAAGGAAAAGAGATACAAAATATTTAAACAAAGGGAAAACACTAATAATAAACTAAAATAAGAAATGAGCATGAATGCCCCCTCTGGTTTAGAAATTATGAGCCAATACCCCCTCTTCGCCGGAAAATGGCCGGAAAATGATCAGAGGGGGTGTGCGTGCAACGTTTTGAAACCACGGGATAAGTTTTGAAAACAGATGGGGTATTGGTGCCAATTTTCCAAGCCACAGGGGGCACCGGAGCTATTTGACCCTTGCTAAAAATTGCCAAATAGACATGCATCATGTCAAAATTCTGTGATCCGAGTCTCAAATATTATAGTAAAGGAAAGGATATAGTCCACGTTTTTAGAAACTTTTTAAACTCAAATATACATTGTTAAATAGATACTTTAGTGTCTACACTTAATTGTAGTCCTTACATTCATATCTATTGTAAAGTAACACTTTGTAATAAAACGTTCTAAATTATCATTGATCAAAACCATAAAAGAATGTGAATAAAATGAATTTTAACCCGTGCAATCCAAGGAATGGAATGAAATCGGATCACCTCTAAAATCCTTTACTTTCATAAAAATTCTGATCCTATGATTATTTGGTCTCCTTCGCATTAATTAAAAAATTAGATTACTAAATACGAATCTTATGATTCAAAGACTATGATTCTTCTACCACATATCGCCGCATTAATTTAGAATAGTGAAATCAATAATATTATTCTTTTCTCCCCACATGATTTAAAAATAAAAGCATGGATTAGCAATACTATGATTCAAAAAATATAAGTTTGAAAACTTTAAAAATCCAAAGATTTCACTTCCCTACATTAGCTCAAGAAAATTAATACAAAAAATATTAGTGATCTGGTGATTCTAAAAAGAAATTTACAAAAAAATTGAATACAAAAGTATTCAAGCTTGTGAAAATATTCATTTCTTAATTTATTTAATTAAAATTTTTATCATTTAAAATAATAGTCTAGTTTTTTTTATTTTATATCATATTACTGTAGAGATTAAAATGTTTGTTTATATTTTATTTTACATTAATATTGAAAATAAATAAAATACAAACTAACTTTATTTAAAGATGTCATAAATAAATATGAATTTATTTATGAAAAAACGTTAGAATTTAGCTATTTAATTTACATCAGAGTTAGTGATTAACTGTTTGCATGAGAGATTAAGAAAGTATCCTTTTTTAGGGAAGGGAATCTCATTTATTCATTGATAGTTTTATTATAAATGAAGTGAAAAAAATATCAAATTGGAAAAATACCTGTATTTTCTAATAAAATTGATTTTATCTATTCCTTAATTATATTTACTCAATAATGTTGAACAATTGTATTCTATGACTCAATTAAGAATATCATGTCATGAGAAGTTATATATTTTTTAATTTAAATTTTCTAGTACTAAAATCAAACCATAAAAATCAATCTATTCGAAATATGAAATTACGTATAGTATTTTTTTTTATTTTAACACAATTATAGTCCAGCCATTGCTTTTTTTTATAAATAATTTAGTGTTATTTTTTAAATATTTTATATGTTTTAGTTTTACATCAGTAATGCAATAAATAAAATCAAAACTAACTTAATTATAACATATCATAAACAAATACCCGCATGACATTGATTTAGAGGTAAAAAATATATATTATTTATTAATTGAATTTTTTTTTGGGGGGAGGGGGGATTCAAAGTTTTATTTTAAGGGAAAGTTTTCCGCAGTCCTACGGTCCATGCTCATTTTATAGACCTTAGTGTATTAATATCATAAAAGAATTGGATCTTTTTTAAAAAATATTCACTTTCTGGTCCATGAAAAGTGTAAGAAGGTTCACATTTCACACGTGGACCTTAGGATCACATTTTACCAAAATGTTGATTTAACATTTTCTATGTTTCAAAATTAGGTGGTATATTATGTACCGAAAAATAAGAAATTTCATAATATGCGAAGAAAGTATTTATTTAGTAGGTGTCAATATTAAAATAAATATAATCAAACTAACTTCATTTAAAGGTATCATAAACAAATTCATAATATTTTGTATATTATTTATTTATGAAGAGAATGTTTTGTTTGTTATTTAAAAAAATATCAACTTTAGTCCAGTCATGTATTGATTTTTAAATTTTTTTATCTAGTTATTGAAATGTATTGTTTGTTTTTAATTTTACATTATTATTGAAATAAATATAATCAAAACTAATTTCATTTTAAAATATAATAAACTAATACTTGTATGAAAATTATTTAAATGTGAAAAAATCATCTTATTTATTAATCAATTTTTTTAAAAAATGAAGCGAGTAAAAATATTATATTGTATTGGAAAGAGTATTTTCATAAAAATGAATGTTTCTCTTTAAAAATTAAATTTATTAAAAGATTTTATACGAAAACATTGATTTCACATTTTCTATATTCTTAATTAAGTGACACATTAAGTGTCATAAAAATATAAAATTTATTTATACGTAAAGGAAGTATTTTATTTAATAGGTGTCAATATTTAAATAAATCCCATCAAAGGAATACCATGTAAATGTATAATGAATAAATATAAAATTATATTATGGGTGAGGAGTGTATTTTATTTATTATTATAATTGTTTTTTGTAAATTTCATGATTTAACAAATTCGAGATTTGTATTAAAAATATTTGTACGTAGAGTTCTTAAAAATGATATTTTATTAAAAGTAATAATTTACACGGAAAATAATTTTAATTCTAAATTTGAATTCATGGGTTCAAAATAAGTAATTAGTGCGTATCATTTTTGAAATAGAGTTAAAAATGTGAAATAATGAAAGAGAGTAAATTTGGTTAAATTGCCACCTAATATGCCACATGTCAAGTTCTTAATGCGCCACATGTCAAGCATTGAACATGCCAAATGTCAAGTTCTTGGAGACCAAACTCTCAAATTTATATATAAAGGATAGGATATATAGGATAGGATATGATTTGAAAATGTTAGAACAATTAAATTGGGAAAATTAGAAAGAGTTAGAAGATACTAAAAGAAGTTAGAAAATAACGAAAAAAGTTGGAAAATATTGGAAGAATGCATTTGGTTATGGGAGAAATAATGTCTAGACAACTATTCTAGGAAAAAAAATTTAACGAAAAATTTGTTCTCGCACACATATTTTATTAATGATATTTGAAAAAAAGAATTTAGAGATAATTTTAAAAATTCTAGGGAGCATAATTTGTTTTTATACACAATCAATTTTAAATCTCCTTTAAAGTGCTCCATTCTCTAGGGACAGGCGGGGGGAGAATGGGGTGGGTGGGGGAAACGAATTGAACTCGATCGAGAAATCTGAGTATTTGAGGATTGAATAAAAAAACAAACTTTCATCCAAAATAAACAAAAGTCATTTTCTTCTCTAAGAGAAATTATTTTTTTAAGAAAAATGAATTTCTATCACTCATGAGCGCAACCTAACATGGAAAAGTAGAGTTGGAATTTTTTCTCGAAAAACATTTTTTTACCCAAACATATCCTAAAAATTAGAATCCAAAAGAACATAAATCTAAGAAATCAAAGAAAATTTAAAAATCAGTAAAATTTTCATTCGGCACCGTGCAATGCACGGGTTAATATAATAGTTTTTAATATAAAATTTGAGAGTTAATTGTTTAGAATGATAACATGTGGCAACAAGGTTCCTAATTTGATTACACGTTAAGTGACACGTGTTCAATGAGAGCTAAAGCTCCTTCCCAGACTAGTACCGATTCTTTCTCTCATTTTCGCGACTATCTTCTTCGTGGAAGGAAAAAAGAAAAACCTGAAAGGAAACTATGGATGATTCAACCCTGATTCCTAGCTGCTTTAGATCTTACGGAAGGAAAGAAATCCCAGATACTGCGTTACATTTCCATTCGTCAAATAGGTTTCACGGAAAACCCACAGGTACTTCGAATAGGTCTTCTTCTGTTCTTCGCCATACCCAAGTCTTCTTTTCCAGGGCTATTGATCCTTCGCGGAAATCAAGCAATTTCTTGCGTCTATTCTTCTACAACGACTAATTCTCAGAGGGAAAGTCTCCAAAAAAATTGTTAAAATTCATATTCTTGGACTTCTAGGTTTTAATTAAAAAAACTGCTCTACTTTCTTGAATGTAGTCATGGCAGCAAGGACGGTATTTTGCTGGGACTAAGACACTCACAGTAACACCGGTTTGTTATTTACACTGCTTGAATTTCAATTCATTTTACTTCTTCATGACAAATGCTCTCTAAGAGTGTTTTGAACTTTCTTACACTCAAAAATACATGGATTAGGATCTCTGGTGCGATTCAAATGATAGACTGTGAAATTGTACAAGAGAGGCATTAACTTAAGATTATCTCCATGTATTCATTTATTATTTTTTATTTGTAATTTAATCCGGCAATTTATAATAAATTTGTGAATGTTAGTTTGAATTGGGTAGTACATTCCAATATGTGGTTGTGTTCAACTCTTGATTCATAAAAGGAGTTTCATGGTTGTTTGTAATCTTTTGAAGAGTAAAATGACAACTGAAACTGCTTTGAGGCTTCTTATAAAACGCCTCTTTCTGTATTTGATGGATTAGAGAATTTTAATCATCTTCAAACGTTTTTGACATCTCTCAAACCATAAGCAGACAGTACACACTCGGGTAAGAATTTTGTCATACGTGTTCAATACCAACCTATTAATCTAGAATTTGCATCTCAATTACGATTATATATATATATATATATATATATATATATATATATATATTATTAAAAGTGATGTTTATTAATGGGAAAAAGGGGGGGGGGGGAAGAGATACAAAAGAGGGAGGACTAGACCAAAGCCCCCAAAAAGGAAATAATACTATCCAAAACAGGTGGATAGCAAAGAAATTGAAAAGATAATTTAAGAGGACTAGGATGGGTTGTGGTTGCCACGTCTTCCGCGTCTTCCACGCCCCCTCCCGCGAGTATTTTGGCCACGCCCCGCATATGGAACGCGACCACTGCGCGTCTGGATCGTCATGTCAGGAGGTTCTCCTTTATGGCGGATTTTAATGGTTGGAGTTTCAGGATCGCTTTCTTCATGAGTTTCATTTTCATCATGGTCTTGAAGGACTTCGACTTCGAAAAGATTGGCATCGTCAAGTTTTGGACCTATACCTTGTATTGATTGAAATGGAGTTTTTGGTTGCATGAAGTTGAGTTGTTGGTGCCCTCGTTTCAGTTCTGCAATTTGCTCCGTGAAGCTCAATTTTTGGAATTCTTGTAACGAAGAGCTGCTTCGTTCTTCAGTGACCTTGATATACCTGCAATAAGACCTAGGCTCAAAAGAAATGTTAGTATTCCCCTCCTGGCTGTGGGGTGAAACCGGTTCTGCCTCGGAGAGAGCATCCTTACCAGCCTCGTCATCTTTTCCAGCATGAACTTTGGTGTGGGTAGATGGATCAGATAAAGCATCATCATTTCCAATGAGAGGGACCGTAGTGTCTGATGGAGTGCCATCCGAGGACTCACGGTGAGTCTCGTGTGCTCTCATATTTTCATCGGTATGGTTTGGGTCATAACCATCATTTTGAGATTGGGGGAGGATCTGGGGTGACAAATCTTGTTCATCGGGGTAGGAGGGTCCTTCTTTCGTGAATTCAAGCTCACATGGACCAGTCAATAATGGGCTGTCTTTGGTATCTTGGTGTTGAGCACATTCCAAGTAGGAGGCATCCAAATTAGCATCTGTTGGGAGGGACAAAGGAGTACTATCCAAACCTGTGAGGGGAGGGCCATTTAAAGTCAAGTTGGCATCAGTTGTAGGGGCCAAAGCAGTACTGTCCAAACGTGGTGGAGGACCATTCTTGCTCATTGTAGGGCATGGCCCTATGTCCTTTGTTGTGACGTACTGGTGACCAGTTTCAAAGCTACCAAAGGTAATGGGGGTAGTAGAGGTTGGCACAGCTGCGCTGCTAGGAAAACAGACCGGTTGGCCAGGGGCCACAGCCTTGCCTCTTGGCTTGGTTTTCCTAACCCAGCGAGAGTTTCTGGTGCCTGATTTGCAGGACTTGTGACCCAATTGATGGCAGGAGTTACAATAGGATGGCAGATTTTCAAAAAGAAGGGGTTGAAGGTAGGATGAGCTACCTAAGTGTATCCAAATAGCCTTGGGAAGTTCCTTTGAAAGGTTAACCTCCACACAGACTCTGGCCACATTAGGCCTACTCAAATATATATATATATATATATATATATATATATATATATATATATATATATATCAAACCCCAATTTTTGATAATTATTTAGAATCTAGCTGTAAGGATACCCCATTTTGCAACTAAACCAAAATTTTAAACCCTACATCTTTTCTATTTTATTTTTACAGTCATGCATAGTCAATCAAATGAGAGATGGGTTTTGGGGAAAGATGCAGGAGCACGACGAAAAGATTTAAGTCAGCATAAAGGAGAAAATAAAGGTGTGTTGTAAGCAACTTCATATTTTAAACATGTGTGTTGTTTAAAGTTAGTGAATAAAATTTCTTAAAATATTCGTTCCATTATTTAATATTATAAATGCAGATGGAGTAGAATCATCGTCACATGTAATAATGTCACAATCTACATCAACAAAAAGAACCCCATTAGCGGATGTGACAAATGGTATGTATAGCAATTTATGATTCATAGAAATGTTTTTATACTTTTTTACAAAAAAGAAGAGAGAATAAAGTATTCTTTGTCATGTCTTCTTATTTGGAAAAATGACTATACAGAGTTAGAACGACATCAAATGCAAACAACGGTGAGGAGTAGTTCAAGAAAACTACACTGTAATGATGTAATAATTTCGGCAGAACTTTAAACGCATAGGAGACAAAGATTCAATGATTTATCATCTATTAAACGTGCCATTAATTTCAGTGAAGGTAATGAGGCCAGAATGGTCAATCTATTCTTATTACTGCATTGAAATCAATATCCCCTTCATATTTATTCATCTATGTAAAAGGATAATAATACAGTGGAATATTTTAATTTTAGATTTCAAGGCACAATATTCATCTGATCAAATACATGCTGTAGAATCGTCCATTCTGATTCCCGAAGCTCAAGATCCAAAAATAAAAGGTGTGTAGAATAAAAAGTATAACAAATAAACTATTTTTGTGCTGTATATGTCAAATTACTTGCTCCCAAACCTTTGTTACAAACTTTCTCCCGTGCTATCGTACACTTTTACTCTTATTAGACTTACAACATTACTACGTACTTTATACTCCGTACTATTTATTATTTAAAAATACTAGACTACTCAGATTTTTTCTAAGAACAACTTTGATTTCCAGTTATGCAGAGTCAAAGCAAGAAACAAGCAATGGGTTATGGCAAAAAAATGCAAGAGCACGACGAAAAAATTTCTAGCAATGAAATTTGAACCCCGTTGAGGAACTAAAAAGGAGACTCCAAACTACAAGAATGTGACATTTGGGAGAGCTGAAGCTTGACATGTGGCAAGGTTAATGTGTCAATTTTTTAGACAACTAGTATTTCGACCCGTGCCACGCACGGGGTGGAACAAAAATTTTTGTCGATTAAATAAAAATTTAATGCCATATTTTTGTGGAATAAAGAAAATATACTTCTCGCATAATTTTTAATATCATAGAAAAAAAATCAAAGTGGAATAAATAATATTTGAGTAATTGAATGCGTACACAACAAAAAAAATTTAATACCAAATTTTTTGAAAGACTTAAGGGCATATAACATTTTTAGTATGGTTGCAATGGTTTTCATTGTCATCTAGGACCAACATTTTTAGTATGGTTGCAATAGTTTTAATTTCACTTGCGGAACACCAACATAAAGCTAATCATGAGTGAACACTGACTTGGTTAAAAATAATCCAACAAATGTCAGTATTTGACCTTGACTTTTATTAATGCATAAGAAACAAATCTATTGAATACAACGATTGGGCAAACAATCAAAAACAATATTATTCAAAATCAGTCAAAAAAAAAATGTGTAAAATTTAACATTTTGTCATTTGTAAGATATTTCAAACACTTCTATATGATCTATTATGCGTAATCATTGTTTTACACAACTTTATCTCATCATTCGATATAGAGTTCATGAGCAATTTAAAAAAGCTATTCCTAAACTACAACATAAACAAAAAAATTGGTTAAAAAATCTACTATCAAACTATAAAAAAGTTGATTACTCTTATTATAGCCAAGTTTGTAAAAATTTGTTCAAGTTTGTCCCTAAAAATTTTAAAAAATTTGGCATCAATTTGTTTGGAAAATTTTCAACACAGATTAATCATAATTACTATTTACGTTACGTTATTTCTTTCTTTGAATTTCTAGAGTATTTTGTTTCAAAATATTTTAATTTCAAAACCCGATTGCCTAAGAAACAATTATATCCAACACCATTCACACTAACATTGGTCATAATTTCATAGACAACATTCATCAAAATCATTTGAATAAGAGATGTGTAAAATTAAAAAAATAAGTCATATGAGTAATATTCCAAGCAGTTAATAAGCGTAAACAATCACTATACCCGCCTTTATATCATGATATCATGATCCGATACAGACAGACTACATGAGAAACATAATCATTTGGGAGCTACTAAAAAATGTACACATTTAAAAGGGAGATTTTAGGGAACACGTTCTCTAAGATCAAATCATCCATTCAGAAATCAATTGTTTTCTGGGAGGTGCCGAGGCCAAAGTATTTGTTGTAGGAGTTCAAAAGACCTTCTAACCTGAATTACGGTGTCCACCGCAATGATTGCCTTGCCTTCTCAACTCATGCAAAGAAATGGTGCAATTGCCAAACACAGCATAATATATATCGTCTTAATTTCTTTAAAGAAAAATTTAAGTTCTAGGTTTCCACTTAAGGAGGAACAATGAATATCATGTAGGGTGTTAGTGGAAATATTTGCCAAATAGGTACCTGATCACGAAATGGAAATGCTTAGGTTACTATCCAAATCAAATCTTTTAGCATTGTATGGAACACTCAAATTCTGGAAACTCATCAGTCTGTTAAAACACAAAGATACACATACATACATATAGTTGTTGAGTCATTTCTCTACTTTCCCAATACATTTTCAGGTTAACATGTTGAAGAAGAAGACAAACACTTACCCTTGCAAATGGATTGGCAATTCCATCATAGGTGACACATTTCTGTCCATATAAGTTAATCACTTGTATCTTTACTTTACCATTGCCAATAACCTGAACAAATGCTTTTGCAAGATCCTGGATTCAATATTGGTTCAAATCCCAAAATTACTGTGTTAAAAAATAAAGCCATTTGTTTGACTAACTTTCTCAAGAATCTAAAGAAAGGCTGCTGGGCAATTACAATAGTCTATCTGTCTCCATCCTCTCCTTGTGCTTGCTCTGTTTAACAAATTCATTTGTTTCTCAGTAGCAGCAGCTGCAAGAGACCAAGTTTGGTCATTCATGTTTGTTTAAAAACATATCAAGAAAGGGGTAAAAGTAAACATTTAGCGATCTGAGTAATTAATATTCAAAACATTTGGCAGTATTAAAAGTCATTAGGTGTTCTTACTGAATAAAAATATGAGTTCTTAAAATCAAAGCAAGAGTAGTATCATTCTCCTTGCATTAGGTAAAATAATAAACTGTATAATACTCGGGAAAATAATAAAAACAAAGCAAACAATTGACCAAAGTTATATGTAGTAGTGTATTATTTCTATTTTAAGTTTTGGGTCAAGAACAATGAATATCATGTAGGGTGGAAGGGGAAATATCTACCAAATGGGTACCTAGTCACGAAATGGAAAATTATTTCTTCTTAACCAAATCAAATATCTCAGCGTTGTTGTGAACAATCTCAGGTTCAACTTGAAGTTAATCAATCCATGTATACAGAGCATTTCCAAACATCACAAAGCAGTAAAATTAAATTTGAAAAGTCACTTCTAATTCATTGGTTGTTTCACTTGCTTGAGAAGTTCAAATTTAAAAATGAATTCAAGGGAAGAAAAATACCACTTTAAAATGGTACGGTGGTGTCATTGTTGAAGTGTGATGTTGTTGACGTAATGCAATTCTCCAAAGCCAAAGACATTATCACTACATCAAAGAAAAGAGGAAGAGAATGATCATATATGTAAAGAAATTTCAATTAAAAAAAGAAAGGGCGGTACCCTTGTCCCTAAATCCCTGCACTGTGATGCGTTTAGTATGTAGTTCTCTAAATTTAAGGGTCGAAATCCTAGCCTGGTGCTGCCATCCATCCTCCCTGCATTGTTACCCCTTTATCACTATCTTTTCCTTCCCGGCGCTATGGATCTGCCCTGGGCTCAGCTCACAAAAAACATCAAAAGAAGGCTGTGTCGCACGGCTGAGAACGTGGATCTCTCATTTCACAAAAACAGAGAGAGATGATTGGTGGCGAGATTGTAGTGTCTAGAGATCGTGCGTGGGAGATCGTGCGTGGATGGTTGCTACAACATCTGGGCGAGATATTTTCTCTGCTGCTGTTGTATATAATAAGATATCTCTTGATTGTTGTAGTAATCCATCAGTCTATAATAACTGTAGAACTGCCATAAAATCCAACCAATCAGAGATTTGATACAAACATAAATGAATAAATACTCCATATACAAAAAATCAATAATACTCTCCTTGCGCATACAGAATGTGTCTATTCATTCAGTTTTAGTTAGAAATGAAAGCCAAAAAGGGTTTCAATGCCTCTAAAATACTACCCCATGATGCATCTGCGTGTTGAATCAAGAGCACAAAGCAATTGTCAAATGAACTGTTAAGGATTAGTAACATAGTCTAGCCCTACTAAATAGCAAACAGAATACTTTCCATTCCCCCCACAAAGTGAACTGAACGCAAGAAGAAAGCCTTCTAACGGCTACTTGATTGCTACAACAATCGATCCAAAAGACTAGAACACCTTTAAAGTCCATAAAAAGCCTATAATGGAACAAAACAGTAGAAAAATCTCCTTAAGATATGTTAGATTGTTAGTTTTTATATGGTTATCTATCTTTGCCTTGGTGTTCTATTTATTAGTTATTTCAGTGCACCTCAATCATTAGTTAGTTTGGCTCATGGCTATTTAGATTCCACAAAAATAAGTATAATACTCCGTAAGAACTACCCACTGTAGGTATGCTTTTTTAACATAGACTTTCAGCCAGCTACATGTTATTGTGTATATGTAATGCCCTTTATGAAGATCCACCTTGTGATTAAGAACTGATAAAAAAACCAAGTGCTATATATAGTCATTTTTGAATTTTGGGAGTGAAATTCCAAAAATATTAGAACTAACCTTATAGTGTTAGTGGAAGGATCTCAAAATTTACAACTTTGCTTCTTCATGATTATGAGGCAAAACCCTGTATTTTTTTTTGAACAACAAAAGCTAGCGTTAGTGAAAAGATCTAAATTGTTGATGCCATCACATTTCCACCAATAATTTTTTTCAGAAGACTGAGTTGTTTAGATTTTAAAAATCATTCAAGGCTAATACTCTCATTGTTCTTGTGCAATCAGAAAAAAAGTTCTTTGAATCACCTAAGCCTCATAGTTCAGTTCAAATAAAATTTACTTTTGTAAACTCGTAACTATAAATAAATAAATAAATAAATAAATAAATAAATACACACACACACACACAAATTAAAGAGAATAAATTGAATCAGCATTAAAATGAACACCACAAAAAGAGACCACAAATGAAATTTCTACTTACAAATTCATCCATAAAGAGAATTACATGAGGAATTTTACCAAATTTCACATCCAATAAAAAAACCATACCCTTGTATACAGCAGCCCTATGGAAAAACAAAAATGCAGTGTATTGGAAATTTTCAAGATCTACCGGTATTGGAGATTTCAATCAACTTCCCAAATTGTGTAGTACAATTACCCTTCATGTGCATAAAAAAATCTCTTTTTAAATAAGTAAGAAACCTAAATTAGCATCAAATGGTCAAGTTTTTACTTCATATGCATTCTGTTGAATATAATCAAAGAAAACTGTGACTCTTTAGCTTTAAATAGAAAAGTATGATTTCCCCAATGTAATTACACGTAATACAATTCTAATCAAGCCAGGATTCATAATTGAGGATTTTAGTGAAACAAATTTTGGGAAATCGAGAGCCCAGATTCGGAAGTGTATATGGAATTCGAGAGCCAAACGAAGTTATGAATTGAATAAGAATTGCATATGAATTTTGGAAACAAACCTGAATCTCGAAAGCTGATCTTGACGCCGTAGATTTCACAATTGACGCGAAGAATTCTCCAAGAATCAGAGGATTTTGACTTCCCTTGATTGCGGTGCTTATTTCCTTTCCTACGAAGATCTATCGCAAAGAATCCGCAGATTTGTGGCGAAAGTTTTGGCTCGGCGATGGCGCTTAGAGAGGGGAAGATTGGAAGAATAGGCGTCTGGAAGTTTTTCAGCGAATAAGTCGTATAAGTGGACACCTGTAATGAATCTTACGTGTAATCAGAATAGAGTACTTCAAGGAGGGGTGTTCAATCGGATCAATCCGATCCGATCCGATCCGAAAATTCGGATATCCGAAAAATTCGAATCACGTAAAAGTCATTCCATATCCGATCCGAAAATATTCAGATATTCGAAATTTGGATATTCGATTTTTCGGATCGGATCACTAGATTATCCGAAAAGTTGAGTTTTTAGCCAAAATTTACAAAAAAAAGGTTAAATAGCAAAATCAACCCAAAATATCAAATTCAATATAGATTTATTAAAAGAAAAAATTCCACCACTAGAAATTGGACTAATAAAAAAATGATACCAAAACAAACAAAAAAACACTATTAAAACAAAAGATTCTAAAATTCTAATGTAAAAAGTCCAAAATGGTTGAATTCCAAAATCAACGTAAAATTACATTTAAATATATAGTCATAATATATATCTATAAAATTCCAAAAACATATAGCAAAAAAATCGGATATCCGATTATCCGAAAAATTCCAGAAATTGAATCCATATCCGATCCGATTTTTTTCGGGTATCCGATCCGAAATATCCGAAAGCTAAAATATCGGATCGGATATTTTTGAACACCCCTACTTCAAGTGTCACAATTCTAAGCTATCAACTCTCAAATACTACCTCCGTCCCACTGTTTTTGTCCACATTTGACTTTTGGAACTGTTCATCTAAGCACTTTGACTCATCAAATTCTCTCAATGTGTAAGCCTAAAAATAGTCATGTGTGATCTTGTTTGATTCGTCTTAACATATAGATTATTAATATATAATTTCTATAATTTTTTAATATACAAATTACAAGATAAAATGGATTAAAGAAGTGCATTGGATGGTGTGCCAAAAGGTGAGTGGACAAAGACAGTGGGACTGAGAGAGTATTATATTACGGAGTAAATGATTAATTGTGAGGNCCCTACTTCAAGTGTCACAATTCTAAGCTATCAACTCTCAAATACTACCTCCGTCCCACTGTTTTTGTCCACATTTGACTTTTGGAACTGTTCATCTAAGCACTTTGACTCATCAAATTCTCTCAATGTGTAAGCCTAAAAATAGTCATGTGTGATCTTGTTTGATTCGTCTTAACATATAGATTATTAATATATAATTTCTATAATTTTTTAATATACAAATTACAAGATAAAATGGATTAAAGAAGTGCATTGGATGGTGTGCCAAAAGGTGAGTGGACAAAGACAGTGGGACTGAGAGAGTATTATATTACGGAGTAAATGATTAATTGTGAGGTGGCAAAAAACAACCGCCTGTTGAAAAATATAGACCGCACACCTGGTACCTTCGCCATCTCCTTTCCTTTTAAAAGTCAACCAAAATTAGCAGAAAAATCCATGACCTCACCTTTCCTTCACCAACGATAGCAAATTTCCTTTCTCAATTTGATTCGGTAATAGCCAATTGCTCGCAATTAGAATTTGATTTCCGGCGTATCAATGATTCTTTCCATATATCAGGTATTATTCAATTGTTAATTTTTTATTTATCTGATTTTCCCCACATTTTTAAGGTTCATATTCATTGCTTCGAACCAATCCTTACGGTTCCATGATTGATATAAAGGATATATGTATACAACCAGTGCACATACATGTAATTCATCTACTGCATCTTCAACTTGCTTGGAACATTTGGACGAACTGAGAAGACAAAAATAAAGAAAAAATTGGGAAAAGTGCTTGAGGTTTTTTGAGCTCCAAGTACAAAGAGTTCAAGGTGCAGAACCTATGTAATTTGTATTACCTTTTCTTTGATTTTAAAGGACGCCATTGATGCTCTTATATTTCATGTTGTTATGGTGGATTGAAGATTATATCATTTCTATAGTTCATAGGTTCATTATGTTGGGTCTTGGTTTTCTACTTTTTTTAGTGATTTTTGTTTTGGCTTAGGATTGTGCCTTCCAAGTTCTGTCTATAGGTTTCTCCCAAGAAGAATGTGCAATTTAGACACTAGTTATTAATTCAATGCTTTATTTTATTAATTTCTGCATTGTAGGTCATCTGGTTTTTGTCTTCAAGATTCTGCAAATAGCATGGTCTGCTTTTTTGGCAGTGAACTGGTTGGTAATGTGTTAATTTTACAATAATTTTAGGTTCAAAAGCCCTAAGTTTCTTGACGTGAAATGACAGTGACATACTGTTCATAAGAGTTGTTGTTAGGATTGAATTTCGAACATAAAATTTAGGGTTTAGCATGTGTGAAACAGACTTAATGTTGTTATTTTGTGTTGATTGTTGCTTTTGGGTTAAAATGGATGCCTCTACGTTACGATTTGGTTTTTAACCCGGGAGATGCAATTTTGATTCATGTTATCCGGTTATCCCATATTTACATTTTATTTTGGTGCTATTTTTTGGCTAAAATGGGTGCCGCTGTGTTGATTATTTTTTTTAACATGATCATGCAGACACTCAATGATGTGTTCGTAATACATTGACCCTTCGATTCTCCTTCCTAATTGAGGATATATCTTTAATAGAATGTGTTTTTGTCTGTAATACTTTGGTGGTTTGAAGAAGAGGGAACTGTTCACTTAGAGGTTCCTGGTGTTACGAATGATCTCTAATGCATTGGTGGTTTGAAGAAGAGGGAACTGCTGACTTTTAGAAAGGATTGATCAAGGTGAATGGAACAATACTTTGGAATATTGTTTCTTGGTGAATATTAATTTTGGATTGACTTTTAGGTGATCTTTCTTTGAATCGTCTCTTATATAGAGAGCTCTATCCAACGTTAAACCTTGCAGCAGTCTACGTACATACAGAGCATGCTATGATGATGAAAATATTGAAGAGTTTGAACATCAGATGAGTTAAACTCTTGCATAACTTTTATTTATTATCAACTAAACAAGTAGAAGTTTTTCCTTTAATTACCTTTAATGGAACATCCATATATATTATTATTCCCATATTTCAGTGAATTAGACCCGTATTGGACATGCCATACGACTTTGCTATCTCTCACAAATTTGGATGGTTGAATGGTTGTGTGTCAATTGTATGGATCTCAATTTGTTTTTCTTCTCTGCTGATTTTTCAATCTCACAGTACTTTGTGTTCTTATAGTTGGCGATTTAATAAATTGAATGCTTCCATTTTTGTGAGGAATTAGGATCATCATAGTTATCATCATTATCACTAAAGTATCTTTTCTTTTCACACCGATCAGAGAGACCCCAGGTCTGGCCTAGGGTTAAAACCATAGGCTCAGGGATTGAGCCTTGGAATCGGTCGATACAGTCTCTGGCAAGACAACACTGAAAAATCAGTGGACGGCAGCTGGGGACGATTTCTACGTGTACCTGAAATGCACAAACTGGACAGTAAAATCAAGGAACATAACTGGTAACTTTCTTCAACATTTATCTATAAAATTCATTTGATCTAAATTTACATTTTTAATAAAATTCAGTATGTCTTCATGACTAATGAACATGGAAGAAGTTCTACACGATTTGGCTATTCGGGAATGAAGCAGAGGGTAGTCATTTCCAAATTACTTTTCTTTAAGTATTTTGACAAACACCGTGTTTGGTTCAAGGAATTTGAAAGGGAAAAAAAAATGAAGTAGAAAATAATTTTTCTTATTTGGTTAAAAAGGGAAAGAAAAATGGAAGGAAAAGAAAATGAGAAGGCAACATATAAGAAAATGGAACACCAAATTCCTCCTATTTTGATTGAGCAGCTGTCCACTCAGTATGAATGATCTTTCTAATGGTATTAAACTTCCATAATTGTTGTATTGCTACAAACTAAAACTATCTTTAAAACAAATTGCTATTTATTTACTTCATGATATTTATGTGATTTAGTATGCAACTTCTTTCTGTTTTGTGGTTCTATGACATTAATCTTTATACTCTATATACTTTCTTTCTGTTTTGTGGTTCTTTGACATTAAATCTATCTTCGATTTCTATTTTGATTGACCTTCATGCATGTGATCTCAACCAGAGTCAACCATGATAAGTCTCACCTGTGAGGGGTAGCTTGCTATAATTCAAAACAAACCATGGCTCCAAATTTTTTACTTTGATGTAATAATTTTTAGGCAAAATGCTTACTTCTGTTGGTGTAAAAAACACATCACTTTTTACATATCATTTCAATTTCTTTATAGCTTTTGTTTAAAAATGCAGACAGGAGTGTACGTGCTTAGAGATTGTGGCATGTGTTTAATAACTCTATTAGAATGTAATATCTGTTCATGCAATCTCAACCTAAGTAAAGCATTAGCTGTATACTTGCTGAGGTTCTTAGTGTAGAGCTCTTATTCCTTGGCAAAAATATAGTTTATTAGCTGGATTTAATAGTAAACCTTATTGGGACACCTTTAATGAATGCTATTTCACGAGGATGTAGCTATGCCTCACCATTACTAATTATTGCATGCGTTGGTTCAGGTGAGGAATGACATGGCAGGAAGATCCCTCAGTACATAGCAAAAGAAACAGCCTTTGCCTTTTTCTCATAAATTTCCTAATGATGATCCCTTCCTTCTTGAATACATTACAATTCTACTACAATCCCTCCTAAGAAACAATCTAATTCGAAAGACTGGAAAACTACAGGGGAGTCTTGCAACTAAAACTATAGACAACCGAATGAAGTTCCTAGCGCGAAGTCTGCCAAGAACCTTGCAATCAGAACAGAGGACATACCCAGGTATCCTCACTCTCTGTAATTCCTGCCATATCTACATAGCTTTTATTCTCTTTTGTTTCTAATGCATAGAGTCATGAATCTGTAACAACAAAGCCAAGATAAGTCATGGGCCAAATATTGCCATGTGAGTTTTGAAATATGGTTAGGAATGCGGGGTGACAATATAGCAGGAAAGACCTGGCGCAAAAACTGAAAATCACGAGCTACCTAATTCCTCTTCACAAATGGAACATCAGATGCTTCACTGTGGAATGGCTGCGAAATTAGCACCAAATGTTGCCATCACCATTGATATCAACCCTATCTTTGTGACCCGAGCAGGCATGAAAGAACCCACCAATCATGCACACTGATGGAATCAGCTCCCACACTAACCAGTTGTAGCGGCCAAAGCTTGATATAGTGTTGTAACCACTATTGCTCATAGAAAAGTGGGGACTCTTTGATTTGGCATATAAATGATGTATTAGGGATGAGTAAACAAAGGGAGAGAGTACTGTATAGAGAAAAATTTCTTTTGTTACTCAGACACTATTTGCTTATTATTTCTTAATTGTGGAGATTACATGTTGGTAAAATTGAAACTTAAGATTCTTTTTGTTGCATTTTTTCCTTTCTTTATGTGTGCCTTATATGAGTCAATATGACTATGTCATCCTTGACAATAGTTTGAAATACTTGAATGAACATACTAAAATAGTTTGAAAGGCTTAAATGAACATACTAAAATGACAGCGCAATTGAGACAACAGTTGTAATTCATAGCATGGATACCATGAGCAATGTAAAAAGTGATTATGCAACTTGAAAGATTTTTATAAGTTTTTGAACTTGGAAGATTTTTAAATAAAAAAAGAATTAGTAAACATACAATTCCGTAGCATCCTATATATATATATATATATATATATATATATATATATATATATATATATATATATATATATATATATATATATATATATATATATATATATATATATATATATATATATATATATATATATATATATATATATATATATATATATATATATATATATATATATATATATATATATATATATATATATATATATATACACACATGTAAAGTTGAGTTTCTTAGTTGTGGTGTTGACATGTGGCATGCCACATGTACACTAATTATGAGATAGAGGAATTTCATTGGTTCTTTAAGCTTCTTTTTTAAAATCTTTTAATATATTTTATTGTATTATATTAAATAAACATTATTTTTTAGCATTAATAAACATTACTTCGATTATATTTTTTACGGAGTATAAAACTTTAATATTTTCTAATGACTCTATAAATGTATATTTCACTATAGTAAAATATACTCCGTATTTTAAACATGCATATTGATTGCAAAATTTTAAAAAGAGTATGTATAAAACTCTCAATTATTAATTTAAAAATATTTCACTTTCAAAAAATGAAAAAACATTTCACCTCCAAAGATATTAAATTGTTTTTGGCATTTTTATGTTTTATTTAATGTAATATTTTTTTAAATAAAATAGTTATAGAATTTTTAGTGCATGCACATCAATATTTAAATTATATACTTTTTATTTAAAAAATATACTCCGTATATCTTAGATTAAAAAAATATTCATTTAAATTAAATAAAATTATATTTATAAAATGTCAAAAGTTTAGAATATATACGAGCCACGGGGTTGACACTAGTTGATTATAACAAGTTGTTTTTGTGCTAAATGATATTGATATTTTGTTATATTTAATGGTCATGTGTTTCATTTTAAATTTAGTTTCGTGTACCAAATAGAGTCTAAATTAAATTTCATTACTACATGTCATTTATTATATCCTTTTTTTAAGTTTTGGTGTCATTATTAGTTTTTTTTAATTTCTTAATCAATACCATTGAAAAAACATTACAGAATAGAAAAATATTCGTTTGATCTCGTGCGTGGAATGGGTTAAATATTAGTGATGTTGAAATTGTAACGAAAGTTAGCTTGAACATAACATTTCACAGTGACACAGTTTTTTGATTAATTTTTTTATATAATAGAAGATAATTAAACATAATATATTTTTTAATTTATATAATAAATCATCTAAGGACTATAAACACAATTTCTCTAGTGATGAATCAAATCAGAAAAATGTATTTTAAGTTTTAACTATGGAGTTTTGTATAATATATTTTTTCTAATTTAACACAATTATAGCTCAATCATCTATTGTTTTTAAACTTTTAATGTAATTTTTAAGAAAATATACTTAAATGTAGTTTTAAAATTAATTAAAAGTGTAATTATAAATGAAGAGTGTAAAAAATAAGATTAAATTGGGAACGGATACTATTATAAAAAAATAAAGTTTCCTATTTCAAAATTAAATGTATTCAAAGATCTCACACCATAACAATAAGTTCACATTTTATACGTCCAAAATTAGGTGGAATATTAGGTGTAAAACAATTGCAATTTTTTTATAGGTGACGAAATATTTTATTTATTAGGTGTTAATATTTAAATAAATATTATCAAACTAACTTCATTTACTTAGATGTAACATAAAGAAATATAAAATTTATTTATAGGTGAAGAGAGTATATTTTTTCTTATTAAAATTTTTTGTAATAAATAAAGAGAAAAAAAGTATACAATTAGGACAACATATTATCATAAAAAGAAAGACTTTTTTCCATTTTTAAGTTTACTCAAATATTTCTTATCTAACTTTTAATTTCATAAGAAAAATTAGGTAACGTGTTAAGTGTTAAAAAATAGCTACATAAGCATGTCACATGTCAAGTTCTTAGAAACCCAACCCTCCTTTTTATATAAAGGATATATATATGATTAGTCCTTTTTATCTTATTTTTTACAGTAAAAGATAAATTCATCCTTTCGGTAAAAATAGTGGATAAAAAGAAGTGGAATAATATGTCATTATACTGGATTAGACATAGAACCAATTTGATAACCTCAAGATGAACAACATGATCACTAGATCTTCTAACAAAACTGAAGCTCAAACTATATATAAATCATATCACAACTTCCTTTTTTATGATCAATATAATGTTAGAAAAAAAAAATCTAAGTCTATAATCATAAGTTTGAACTTTTAGTTTAGTTGGTTACTTGATATGATATATGAATATTTACCACAAAAATAGTCACGAGTTTAAACTCATCCTCAATTTAAAAAGATTAAGTTTTAAGTGCAAGGTTCAAATTTAAGAAAATGGAAAAGTTAAAAATTAATCTTTCTAACCAAAAAAATTATTGTTTCTGCTATTTCAAATAATGTAATGGTATATTTGAAAACTTAGGTTTCAAATTAGGCCCCGTTTGATATACGGAATTCAAACTATGGAATTGGAATTGAGGACTTCAATTCCAATTCTGGTGTTTGGTAGCACAAAAAGTATGTGGATTTGGAATTAATAGTGCAAAAAAAGAATTAGAATTGGCAGTATTCAATTCTATGGAATTGAATCCCGTGGAATTTCAATTCCAATTCCGTCAATTCCGTATACCAAACGAACCCTTAAAATTTGACTCAGATTCTATGTTTGAAAAATTTTAAAAATTTAGATTTTGATTTAAGTCATATTATTCTAGTTCATAACAAAGCTCAAATTGAAATTTAAATATATCCTCTTGTATTTGAAATTTAAAAATTATATTTTGAAATTCAAATACATACATTGAAATGAAATATTATCTCCCAAATATTACCTAAGTTTATTTTAATTTTGGAATGGTTTACTAATGTATAGCTAATAGACCAGCCGTCAGCCCGTCTTACGTTTCCCTCTCTCCGTCTTCATCCTCTGCCGACGCGGCGCACTCCCACCGTTACCATTAACCAACCGGACGCGTTAGCTGCAAACACAGAGGATACAAATTTGGAATTTTTGATAGTCCTTACTGTCCTTACAGCTTAGCAACTACGGACTTTACCACGCACTTTCATTGCATACTCCCGTTATAAAAGGTAAAGTAATTTTTTTGGGGATATAGCTTCACCGTAATTTTACTTGTAATTGTGTGAATCCTCTAGATCCAACTCCGAATCATCACTTTGTTTTCTACTTTTCTCTACAGATCCTTTAATGGAAAAGCTCAAAAGATCCTTTAAAGCTCTCTCTCCGGATCATCCTTCTGGTCAACCACAAGAAGAGCGCAGAGTTCTCTTGAACCAAATCGAATCACTAGAAAGTTCAATCCTAGACATGCCGGCGCCTATGTCATCTTCTTCACAGTCGCTCTCGAAGTCCCCTGCTGCCGATGGTTCTACTGAGTTCACTGCTAACATTATGCCTATAGAAACCGAGCTGTCTACTTATCGCTTGCAGACCCAGCTGGGAAATAGCAATGTTAATTATTCCACTGCGGTAAACCCTTGGGATGCTAACAAGGTCTGGAGGGATTCTAGCTACGATTTCTCCAACGATGAGGTGATTAACGCTAAGAAAAACGGCAATAAAGATTTCGACTTTGTTTCTGAGTCACCTCTGTCGAGGGTGGCGGAGAGTCCGACCATTGGTCAGATTTCTCCGAGGGAAGTCCGGGTCTCATTCAATGAGAACTTGAATGAACGGGTTCGCCGTCGGTCAATTGCCAGCGGAGAGCAGCGGAGTAGTGCAGCGGAAGACGTTGTGGTATGCAGTACAACCTCATCTTTTCGTAGAAAGTCGGGGCTCCTATCTACTAAGATGAAGTCCAGGTTGTTGGACCCCCCTGAGCGGCAGAATGATCAGAGGTCTCAGAGGATGACCATGAAGTCTGGGGTATTGGGCAAGGGGTGTGAAGTCGAGGAAGATGACCCTTTCCTGGAAGAGGATTTACCAGAAGATTACAAGAAGATTAACTTTAGTCCTCTAACTATTATGCAATTGGTGAGTTTGGTCCTGATTGTTGCAGCTTTGGTTTGTACTGTCTCCTTCCGTGTGCTGAGAAGGAAGGCTGTTTATGACCTTGACTTGTGGAAATGGGAGTTGATGGTCTTGGTGTTGATTTGTGGAAGAATGGTTTCTGGTGGGGGGATTAGGGTTGCAGTTTTTTTTATTGAGCGGAATTTTCTATTGCGAAAGAGGGTTTTATATTTTGTATATGGATTAAGAAATGCAGTGCAGAATTGCATTTGGTTGAGTTTAGTTTTGATAGCTTGGCAGTGCATATTCGATAAGAGGGTTGAGAGGGCTACCCATGGGGATATATTGCCACATGTGACCCGAGTTTGGATTTGTTTGCTTGTGGGAACTTTCATATGGCTTGTGAAGACGGTGCTAGTCAAGGTTCTTGCTATGTCATTCCATGTCAATGCATTTTTTGATAGGATTCAAGAATCTTTGTTCAATCAATATGTGATTGAGACTTTATCTGGCCCTCCGTTGATTGAGATTTTGCGAGAACAAGAGGAGGAGGATAAGACGATGGCTGAGGTGCAAAAGCTTCAAAGCGCTGGGGCTACATTGCCTCCTGATCTCAAAGCTGCAATATTTTATAAGAGCGGGAGACTTATCGGGACCCCGCGAAAGAGCCCAACTTCTGCCACTGCAAGGAGCCCAACTCCAATGTTTTCAAGAGTCATGTCTAAGAAGGAAAAGGTTCAGGAGGGAGGAATCACTCTTGATCATTTGCACAGGCTCAATCAGAAGAATGTTTCTGCCTGGAATATGAAGAGGCTGATGAATATTGTTCGGAAAGGTGTGTTGTCTACTTTAGACGAACAGCTTGATGAGTCCACATGTGAAGATGAATCTGCAGTGAAGATTACCAGTGAAAAACTGGCAAAAGTTGCAGCCAAGAAGATATTTAACAATGTGGCAAAGCGAGGCTCCAAGTGAGTAGTTATGTCCTGTGTGATTTCTTTTTTGAAGTTCAACTTAGTTGCACACACTAGTTTACAATTTTTGGGGAAAGTACTACAGAATTTTTTATCAGCAACTTGTTTGGCATTTAACAGTTTTCTATGTTTTCTCTTAATTTGCACTAATTCACTCCAAAATGATTGCTAGATATCTTAATCTTTCACACCATATAATGAAAATGGTAAGGTACTATTAGGGGTGGACACGGTACCGGTACGGTACCGTGACCGGCAACGTTACCGCCGGTACCCGCCACCGTCACTGCCGGCCGGGACGTTCCACCGGTTCCGGGAACCGGTACCGGTACCGCCCACTCCGGTACCGGTTCCGGTACCCATTTTTCGGTACTGGCACCGGCGGTACCGGTTCCGGTTCCGGTTCCGGTACCGTTATTAAATTTTTTTTATTTTTATTTTTTTATTTCATTCTTTCCTTTATCAATTTCATTTTTAGATTTTTTTATTTCATCCTTTCCTTTAACAATTGCACATTTATAATTTTACACTTTAAAAATTTAATAAAAAAGCAAAAAAAAAAGAAAAAGAAAATTGGGGGTGGCCGAAACCGGCCGGTCCGGTACCGGTACCGGTACCGGTACCAAGGGGTGGCGGTACTGGAACCGGAGGTTCCGGAACCGGAACCGTCCTGGAACCGTACCGTGTCCACCCCTAGGTACTATGGTCATATACCATCTAAAGGAGAAAACAACTTTACTTTAAAGTTACAGATACAGTAGGCCAGTGATGCTTTGGAATACCAACAATTAAATATATTTCAAGCAGATTTAGACTCAGATGCAACTTGTTGTGTTGCATACTGAATTACAACTGCTTTTGTTTCAACTTATATTGTGGGCTTCATATCATTTTCTAAATTGGCTCTCTCAGAAGGTCTTGGTTTAAAGTATGATATTCGAAGTGCATTTTATTTGAAATTCAACTAAAAAGATAATTTTGGAGTAAATGGCAGGATTGGCAGGTGCTCTTTTTATTGTTTGTATCATTCATTTGGGATTGGAAATTATATAAAGCTTGCCACTTTACTGCACCGGAGCATTATTTGTTGGTTCCTCCCTAAGAACAATATATGCTCCAAACCTTTTGTCAAACATTTCTTTCTCCACCGTCCCTCCTTAAGGTTTTAGTTTTTTATTTTTTATATGAAGTTGTGATAAAATTTCATTAACATTGTTGCCAATAGGTTTATTTACACGGAGGATCTTCTATGCTTTATGAGAGAGGATGAAGCATTAAAAGTGTTGCATCTTTTCGAAGCTGGAAATGAGACCAAAGGAATCAGTAAGCGTGCTCTCAAAAATTGGGTGGTGAGGATTTTAATGTGTTTTTTCCCTCATCATCTATTAATTTAGCCTATTTACTTGATGTTACTTCTTGAATTATGATTGCATTTTCTAGAAAAGAAATCTTAGCTTTTTAAACTAGTTTGATGAAATACATATCAATGAGGAAATTGTTTCCATTTTTGTGCATTCCCAGGTCAATGCATTTCGAGAACGGAGAGCTCTTGCTTTGTCTCTAAATGACACCAAAACTGCTGTGAACAAATTGCATCATATGTTGAATGTTCTTGTAGCAGTACTCATAGTGGTCATCTGGCTTCTTATACTGCGAGTTGCAACCATGCATTTTTTTGTGTTTTTAAGTTCTCAGATTCTATTGGTGGTATTCATGTTTGGAAACACAGCTAAGACAACATTTGAGGCCATAATTTTCTTATTTGTAATGCATCCATATGATGTTGGTGATCGTGTTGAAATTGATGGCGTTCAGGTAAAAAGTTTTTTTTCACTTACAAAATTTCCTTCCTTTTTTGTTCATCGGTTTTCATTATCGGTCTTCATTCCTTACATAATCCCCCTCAGGCTTCATCATTATATACACAATTCTTTTTGGATTTCAGATGGTCGTTGAAGAGATGAATATATTGACAACTGTATTCTTACGATTTGACAATCAAAAAATATTCTATCCAAATAGTGTTTTGTCTACAAAGCTTATAGGTAATTTTTACCGTAGTCCGGATATGGGAGATTCAATTGATTTTGCCATTCATATTTCAACTCCAATGGAAAAGATTGCAACTATGAAAGAGAGAATAACAAGGTATGAATGCACATACATTTCTATTGCCTTTCTATATATATCCTTGATCATTTTCCAAGACATGAAGTTATTTATTACTCTGCATCTTTTCGCAAGGAACCCGATGATTTCGTACCGACTCTTCTTTTCCTTTTTTTTCTCAATGAACAAATGAACAGCTACATCCAGAACAAGCGTGACCATTGGTATCCGACTCCATCAGTAGTGATGAGAGATATAGAAGACATGAACAGGATAAAATGGTCTGTTTGGATTTCACACACAATGAATTTCCAGGACATGGGGGAGAGGTGGGTGAGGAGAGCCCAACTTGTTGAAGAGATGATCAAAGTATTCAAGGAGCTTGATATTGAGTACCGCATGCTCCCGATTGATGTCAATGTCCGAAACATGCCTTCACTCACTTCTACTAGACTCCCATCTAACTGGACTGCTTGTTCCACATAATCTTATACTGTTTGCATATATATATATATATATATATATATATATATATATATATATATATATGAATGTGTGTGTGTGTGTGTGTGTATATATATATATATGATTGTATGTATATATATTATGCACGTGCATATTAGCAGAGAGAGCCATTGATTTTTTAAGCTGTTGGTCACATTCCATTTTAGCCCAGATCTCTAACTAGTATTGGATGTGGTAAAATGTAGGGACACTCAGGTAGAGCAGGCATGTGTTTCATATTAATATATGGTGATAACCATGCTTCCTTTATTTGCTTCCCATGTCTTTCAAATTAATTCAAAGCAAAGGATTTGATGGATTTATTTACTGGAGAATAGCAGTAACGATAATTGCAATTGAGCTCCTCTTCCTCATTCTTAGAAGGTTTATATAGAGAATCGACTCAATTAACAATAACTGGCCAATTCTTTTGCCTCTATTCAGTCATGTCAATCAACCCTCAATTAGCTTCTATCTAGGCTTAGGCCCTGTTCCGTTTAACTTATTTTTTCTTATTCTTATTAAAATCAGATCAGACCAGATCTGATCTGATCCAATCAGATCAGATCAGATCCAATCAGATCAGATCAGATCCAATCAGATTAGATCAGATCAGATCAGGACTTATTAAAATCAGATCCCATCAAAAATTATTATTATTATTATTATTATTATTATTATTATTATTATTATTATCATCATCATCATCATCATCATCATTATTATTAGTATTGTTCTTAAAAATGAAAAAGAATAAACTTTAGAAATAGGTTAAATAGAAAACTGAGAAAGTAATCCTTAATTATTAAACGTCGGAAAAATTAGTTTTAAAATACATTGACAATGTCAATCTAATTCTACTTTTAAAATATATTTTTATTGCTACTTGTAATTTAAGTTTCTAAACTTGTGATCTTTTATAAGGATGAGATATTTTATTAAAAATACTATCTCTTCTATATATTGATTATCTAAATTTAATTACGGAGTACTTTTTAATGTATATCTAAATTCAATATTTATTCTAATGTATAATTCTAATTTTACAAAAATATAATCATAAAATAAAAATATTATTACATTATAATATGAATGATTATTCTAATATATGAATTAACTATTTTTATTTTATTAAAAAATAATCATTAAATAAAAAATATTGATTATATTATAATATGAATTATCATTACAATTTTCAAACGTTATTATAAAGTCAAATTAAATTATTGATTTGAAATTTTAAATTAAATCATAATTAATCAGATCAGACCAGATCAGATCCAATCAGATCAGACCAGATCAGATCAGATCCAATCAGATCAGATCAGATCAGACCAGATCAGATCAGAACTTATTAGAATCAGATCAGATCAGAAAAAATAAGTTGAACGGAACGGAGCCTTACTATTGTGGTACGTGGCTATTGCCCCCTCAGTCCACTAATTAACAATAAGTAGAGGTGATAATCGGGTCAATTCGATTGGTTTCGAGTTTTGAATTTTTTCGGTTCAGATATCTTTCGGATATATGTTAAAATCGATTAGATTTGGTTTGGATCAGTTTAATTTCGGTTCGGATTTTATTCGGTTCTATACATTTTTTGGTTCGATTCGGTTTTGAGTCGGTTCAGATACGGTTCGATTATAAATCGGTTCGGATACAATTTGAATCGGATATATTTCAGTTTCGAATCAAGTATATTTTGGATATATATTATTTTCTAATTAAATTTTAGTTATCCATGTTTCTTTTTATGTTTTATCACATTTATCAATCTATCATCAATTCAATACCTCATATTATTTTATATTTTTTTCTAATTATATTATCAGATATCTCTACCCTAGATAATCTTCCCTTTTTGAGTTTTTAGTCATATTTTACAAATTTGGACTACAAATTATGAAAAATTATATATTTAATTATGATATAAATTTAATATAATTAAATTGATTTTAAAATTTAGTTTTGATATATCAAATTTTTCTCACATCTACTAATATATTTATGTTTATAAATGAAAAGATAAAAGATAAATTCAAATAGTGTTACGTTCCAACTGAATACAATTTGGTAAAAATTGAGTGAAATTAAGTGAATTTTATTCAATTGAGTGCAAAATTTATAAATTATTTGAGTGTATTTGGTTGAATTTGATGAAATTAAATTTAATAGAGTCAAATATAATTAATTTTACACCTAAATGTAATGGTGTAGATCAAATTTGAAATTGATAACACTAAATGTTGTCGTTAGAGAGTCTTTTCAAAATGTTAACACTAACATCTAATGTTATTCACTAATATTGAGTGAATTGTTTTGAAACTAATCAAACTAATTCCCAAACCAATAAAATGTATTGCAATGGGATGAAATTAGGATAAAATCTAGTTATTCCATACAATTCATCACATAATTCTTTCGTCCCAAAAAGAATATCACACTTCACTATTTAAAAATTACAAAAATTTTATTTGTTTGTGCGTTATCATTTATTATTTGATAAAATAAACTATTATTCTTGTAACATCTTATTTTGTAAAGTTTTTAACGTATTTGTTTTAAATATGTAGACATTTGTTTATTTATATACCAATCTTTAAATAAAATAAATTTTAAAAAATTAAATTTTTTTTGTTTTGCGTTATGTAGCATTCTTTCTAAGATGAGGGAGTTTTTTCTTCAAAATAAGATTGTTTTAATTGAATTTTGTAGCTTTGTAACATAAGATTGAAAGTAGTATTGTATTTTTCGTATAATATCTAATCAAAGACTTAATTTTTTATCAATTTTCTTATGCTCAAAATTTTCCAATTCCTTTTCACTTTCCCTGTTTAATCTTATCAATTTTCTTATGCCACCATTCAACTCATTTCTCAATTTCCATTCACCTTCAACTCTTAGACCTAATTTTTTTCAATTGATGTTTCACCTTGTTTTTCAAATATTTTATTCCCTTTAATTTTGTTAATAAAAAAATAGTTGGCTCACTTTATTCATCCAAAACTTTATATGTATAACTTATCTTCAATTTCTAGATATAATAAATTTAAGGCATGAGATTTTGTAATTTTTTTTCAAGATGATAATCCATTTTATGAGGGAATGAGCAAGTAATGTAATTAGTTCAAATGGTAAAATAAGAGTAAAAATTCAAAAATATAATATGCTTATTGAAAAGCAAACACAGTTCTGAATTTATCAGTTTTAGTTCTAATCAAGTTCAGATTTAATCGGTTTCGGGTATTATTGGTTTTGGATCTAATCGGTTTCGAGTTTAATCAGTTTGGATATTATGAGTTTCGGATCTAATCAGTTTCGAATTTAAATCAGATATGAAATATTTAGTTCGGTTTTGGTTCGATTCAGATCATTTCGAGTTTTCGGTTAAAGATCGGATCTTCATTTTTCGGATCATTTCGGTTTTCGATTTTGGATAATTCAGTTCGGGTATCGGTTCCGATTCTGTTTTGCCAGGTCTATCTATAAGTAGTGCTTCAGGGGAAGAGGCCCCTGATCCTCTCTAGCATTGTCAAATCACCGGTGATCACGAAGGAATACCGCCCCTTGTTCCGTGAGAGATTCGCATGAGTGATGTCGAATAGAGCAGTGGCCACAGCCCATGGCCACAAAAGAGGAGAAGCATCGTTTGATTTTTTTAAACTAGTATTTTAACTCGTGTCATGCACGTGGTGGAATGAATTTTTTGTTTTGAATTTTTAATTTTTCTACACTGCAACACTTTTAAAAAAATAAAAACAATTATCGAACTTATAAGTTAAAATAATGATAGAACGTATAACATTTGCTAATGAAAGTTCTACTCTATACATTTGAAAATATATATGTCAAAGTCTTTTTTAAAATAAAAATTTTGAAAATTTGAGGTATATAACATTTTTGTGTGATGTTATAAAGACTACCAAAGACATATAAAACTAATATTTTCAACTAGGGTTGGACATGTTCCCGATACGGAACCGGTACCGGTGGTTCCGCCACCAGGACCGGCGACGGGACGACGGTGCAGAGAACTGGTATCGGAACCGCCCCACACGGTACCGGGTCCAGTTCTAACTTTTTGTGGCCGGAACCGGCAGTACCGGTTCATTTTTTAATTTTTTTTCTTCCTGAAATCCTGAGAAAAAGTGCAATAGGTGGGCCGTGGGGAGCCTCCAACGGCTCTATGGCTGTTTTGAGGGGGGATGGGGGTTTGGGGGTGGGTATTTTTTAGCTATAAATACTCCTCTAATTTTTTTAATTCACTCATCAATCTCTCTCTCTTAAATCTTAATCTCTCTTAATCTTTATTATATTCTATCTTTTTTTATAATTTATACTTATATATTTCATATTTATATATATTATATTATAAATATATAATCATATATTACTAATATATTCTATTATGATATATTTATATTATAATATATTTCGAAATTCAAATATATTATATTATTAAAATTATAAATTTATCATATTATAATATTCTAAATTTCTAATATAGTCTGGTAGAAGGTCTGTAGATATGAGCATTGTGAACCGAAGACGTTCTAACAAAGGCAAAGCTATGACCACCTCCGAAGGTTCGAGCTCACGTGCTTCTCAAAAAACACACTCTGTCTCTTCCTTTCCTACTATCCCCAACAATTCATAGACGATGCTATGACCGATCAAGAATTCGACCAATATTTGGGAGGTAGGAACGATGCCAATCTTGAAACTCTTGAAGATACATTCGAGGATGTTGAAGAGGAGGTGGAACCAACACCGAGAGCAACGATCCTACCGACAAGGAGAGAAGTGATCCCGAGATTCTATTTGTAATGATATTTGGAGTGGAACGTATAATAGTTTGTCTTATATGGGTGTTACCTGTCATTTGATAGATAGTGATTGGATTATGCATAAACGTGTTCTTGCATTTCGTGATTTTAATGAATCTCACACTAGTGATAATATTTTTCTTTTGTTTGAGCGTATTCTCCAAGAATACAATTTACTTGATATAGTGTTTGCATTAGGTTTTGATGATGCTACTTATTTCTTTTTATATTGTGCAACACTATTTTTTATATTGTGCATGTTCTAAGTATATGTAAAAAATAAATGTTCATACTTCAATTTAATATGCAAAGAATACTCTAGAGACATACGAAAAACAAAGTACTGAAAGCTTTTGCAGTAATGAATTGGTTCTTTGTTTTTTCAACTGAGATTAATAAAGAGTATTGCTTCATGTTTCTATTTATTTTTGTTACAAGGATTAGTGAGATACAACTAAAAATGAAAATTTATTTGATTGATATTGATTTTAAAAGGGAAAAAGAGTAAATTGGGAGTAAAACATTGAAAATATACCAAAATTAAAGTTTCATGTTTTTATTCCCGAAATAGGAGTTAAAATGCATTTACATTATCAATCATGATCATGTACATTACGTAAAATGCACAAGTACAGTGTCACATTACCACAATGCAAACTCTTATTTAAAAAATAAAAACATGAAATTCTTATTTTGATAATTTCTCTATGTTTTAGTCATATTTAGGGTGATTTCTTATTTTAAAATTTAAAGAAAGAGTTTGAGCCACACAAAAATTACGAACACAGTTTGGGATAATATATTATGGTATAGAAGAAAATAAAACCAGATGAAATAAATTGAAAAAATACAATATACATTTTTTAAATAAAATATGAAATTTATAAAATAAAATAATTATTTCAACATTTTTTTATTTTTTTTGACTTTTTAAAATTCTTTCCCACTCTTACTAGTTTTTTCCAACTCTTTCTTGTTTCTTCTAACTCCTAATTTCTGTCAACTTCTAATTTCTTCCAACAAAAAAATAAAACTATCATTACACGCTAAATAAAACGTATATGCTCATTCAAAGAATAAAAAAATTGCTCACTACCAATGGATGCATAGTATTCTTGTACCTACGATTGTGAGGATAGAATTTCTCATCTATCTTCCTTTGGCCACGTTTTTTCAGAAGACAAATACGGAGTAAGTTACTGGTCTCTATGTAGACTCAATAACACATAGATTCCGTTTCTTTACCAATTTGAGCAGCCAACAAAGTATTCTAACAAAGCACCATGCATACGAAAATAGTGCAGTTAATCCTACCCATGGCCATCATAGATTAAGAACTCCACGACAGATAAACAAATCCATAGTAATACCAGAGCACAGCTTTACAGGAGCTCCACTAGACTCCAATTCATTGAGTATATTATGCAATTACGTACAACTGTCATATAATTAAAAACTTCAAATAAAGGGACAAAGTAGATTCATTCCCCAAGTGATCTGATAAAAGTATCAAACGCCAAACTGAGCAAGTGCAAAAGTTAAACTAAAAGCTCAACCCCAATATGTTTAAAGAATTAAAGCATCAGAAGTACCAGCAAGTATCCGGCAATTACTCTTGCCATCCGGCAAAGCTTTTGCCTTCTCTCAGACATTTACCCCTTCGGTACTCAATCTCCGCATCAGAACTGGATGAACCATGGGGATATTTCCTACAAAGTCTCGAATTCCCCATCTTAGAGAAGATATCCTCATCTTCGCTCACAACGCGATACTCATGTGAACTGGCTCTAGAGGCATTACTAGGACATGTTTTTGAACAATTATCTGAGACAGAAGCAGCACAAAGAGTTTGAAATCTGGCATCTAAACAACTCCCGAGGGATGTGCAATGATTTCCAGTTATGACATGTAAAAGCACCAAGACATTTTGTGAATAATTAAATAGAAATGCCAGTGAAATATTTGAACAGAAAATGGAAATTATATACCCTGGAGGATTTGATTAATAGACAAACACTATTGCTTTAAAAAAACATATTAGTTGCATAAACTAATGAATATATATATATATATATATATATATATATATATAGACACACACACACACATACATATATATACATCACACACACACACACAAGCACACACACATATGTGTGTGTGTGTGTACATCTCATGCAACTAAGTCAAGTACCCTAAAGAACATCAAAGTGCAACTTTTTAAGCCTGAAAATGGTAGGGTGTTATACTGTTATCACATGCACCTTTCAAATGACTGTCCGGCAAATCAGCATCATTGGAGCTTGATTTACAACATTGTGAAGTGGAGTCGATTTCATTGGCTTGTGTCTTATCGTTTGACACAATCTGTACATTTTCCTGCCCTTGACCATTATCAGAGGCAAAGGGCATCATACGGAATGAATCATCTGTGACATCAGAAATCTCCACATACTGGGCAGTAGTGATTATTTCATCAGCACTGAAACCAAAAGATGCTCTGTAAGCTTCAATCTCGTCCACCTCTTGCTTGAAGTTTTTACTCTGCCTGCTTTGATGCGCATTTCCAGCATTAGAATAAGCATCAGACTCCTTAGAAACACTCAGCCTCCCTCCTGAATGAGGAAATAATGATTGATCATAGAATTCAGCAAATGTAGCCGGGCAGAAGAAATTTGAATCATGTGGCGTTTTAGAGGTGCCCACTGTTTCCAGTCCATCGAGCCTGCCTGAATCAGATCGTGGCTTTTGTAGAGCAACAGAAGAAGGCAAATTTCGTTCACTGGAAGGTGATGGCAAGAAGTCACCAGTGGTCCTTGAAGCAGGTGATCTGAGATTATTATTATAAGCAGGGCTCTCTGGAAATAAAGAGCAGGCTGATTGAAGATCACTAGTAGTAATGATGTTTGTCTTCTCAGCGGACTTAATACCCACAGAGGAAAGGAATCTAGCATAAGGAACATCTGGAGAAGATGGTGTAGTCAGATGAGCTAATTCTGGTGGAGGGGTAAAAGGAGCAGTAGATGGCTCAGTTGTGAACGTAGAGAACACCGGAGGAGATACAAGTTGAGTCTCATGGGCATATGGACCCGTAGCAAACATAGTTGACGATGGACCTTCAGGGGAGTTGGCACTTAAGTAACACCTTGGTGACTGAGCTGTTGAAGGAAGTGCCGAATTATTATTAGAAAAGAACGCGGGCGAAGAAGGCGGGGCCAAAAGTGATGGCGCCAGTCCAGTAGTAGTATTATTATTATTCACAACCCCCACTAGAGGTCTACTTGCCAATGAATTGGCCTCTTGGATACGAGAAGAAGGTACTATACGCTTTCCGCCTTTTTGTTTGCCGAAACAAGACAATCCACTCCAACATCCAACCCATCTTTTGTGCTGTCATATTGTTAAGAGCGATTATTATTAATCACTTGGAGAAAGTAAAAAAGAGATGCATCATAAGACAATGTTAGGATGTGTCAACATATAAGCTAGCCTTTTCATCACATTTTCTACTCGAATCAATTTTTCAAATACCCAAATGCTAATATATACCGTACAAATGAATGTAAAGTCACTGTGTGTAAGGTACTTGAAGATATCGATAACAGTAAAACAGTCTTTTATGATACATTAAATACAAAACCATGATTTTTAGAATGATGGTGGTAGAGCTATATAAGTTAATCCGGCTATGAAAAACGTGATTTACTGCCTGTATCACCAGATCAGGGAACCCATAGTCAATAATGCAGCTCATGTATTTGTACAACAGAGCGTAATCGAATCCCAGAATCAGATCTGGGCCGGTACAAGGACATTACACAAGATCAAGCAGAAACATAAAACAGAGAAAATTATATATAAAAAAAAGGATTAATGAACAAACCATGAACGGACAACAACGGTGTACAGATGGTGTGACACCAGCAGAAGAGAAATGGATCAAATCCGTACAAAATTAAAAATCAAAGTGACATGGGGAGAGCAAAATGTAAATCTGGGAATGGGATGTACCCCAGACGGACGAGGGAGCGGCGGAGGAGGCAGCTCTAGCAGCGGCTGCTGTAACAGCGGCGGAGCAAATCTATTCTGCTCCGAACCCATTTGTACATCTAGCACATGTAGGCAGACTAGGGAGTGAGTGGGTGATTCAAGCTCGGTGCAACTCCTCCATCCAATAATATAGACTCACGTCCCTTTTTCTTTCTGATGAAGCAAGCTCTCGCTGTTCTTGACTTCTTGCACTCACAAACTTCCGCTAAAATACGTATATCTGCGGAAAGGGAGAGGGAGAGGGGACAAAAGGAGTTTCCATCGAAGACCATGAAAGACAAAAGCAACATAAAAGGAGCACAAAGAAAAAGATGCCAAATTGGGATTTCTTTCCACTGGGTAGCTAAAAATATTTTGTTTTTGTGATAAAGTTCCCTTCCACATAAATTGTCAAGGGACAAATTTCGGGTGATTTAAAGCTTGTTGTATGAGATTTATTGAAATTTGATTAGTCTCATTAGGTCTAATTAGTATCACATCCGTGCGATGCACGGATCATATTTACGTTAGTAAATTATATCAACATCATTTTTGAAAGATACAAATTGATAATAATCTAAGTAATGTTTATCAATTAACAACACATTATCACCAAAAGTCAATTTCTGAATCCATAAATTTGTAACAAAAATCCCAAAAATTTGTGATGAACCTTCGAAAAACTTTCCCGACATCTCTTTAAGTTTCATCCTGCCAAAGAATTTTAGCATAAAAGGTTGCCTGGCAGTTTTCGCTATTTGGTAATTGTGCAGTTGTAACACCCCAACCCGGGGTAGCGAACCGGGTTGTTACTAACTTGGTATTCGCATGCATATTTTTTTTAAAATGGCCATTAAATCAAGTATAAAATTCGTCCGTAGGGTTTTAACTAAACCCGAATTCACCAGAATAATTAAATAAATCCAAACGTCGCGGAAGCATAAGAAAACCAAAGTAACGTTCAACCGTCCATATAATCAAATAAAATAATGTAGTTTAATTATTAAAGTAAACAAGAGCCATCCACGCCACACCACCACTTCACTGCCCTTCGGGTTGCCCATCCAAATTTGTGTTCCTACCTGCGTGCAGTCAAACAACAACGACTACACGCTCAGCGAAACGCTGAGTGAAAATATACCTAAGCCAACATTAACTCACAGAATAGCACCACATTAACATACAATCAAAACATCATGTGATCACGGAGAAAATAGCTTAAATAAACATATTTATATTAACACCTTCCAATTGAACATCATGTCCTTATTTTATTCCACATCAACTACTTTGAGTCATGGCACCCCAAGCGATGCTATAAAAGGGCCAGCTCGGAAACCCAAAGGAGATTCACTTTGGGCGGGTTGAAGCCCCTGTCCCTGCGATGCCAGGACAGGTCGCGGACTTCCGTACGTACGTTTTTAACCCAAGACCACCGGGTGTGCGAGGACGCCCCGCAATGGCCAATTTTTTAACCATAACCTATTGGTGATTCAATTAGTCAATCCAATTCAGGTCCGCCTAATTATATTAGGTGGCCTATTTCCCATATACTATTCATAATCCACAATTTTCATCAATAAGATCAATTTAATTTAAATCTCAGTTTACAATTCACAACAAATCACGTAGCGGCCTATCCGGGCCAAAGACCCACGATTACCGTCATGCATAACCAAACAAACCCAAATTACAATTAACCCAACTCACCTGCGCGGAATCGAGCCCAAGGAATCGATCCTTAGACCCGCTGCCCCGGCCAGAGCAGTCCCCAACGTCGCCGGACCAACCCGGCACCCCTGCCGGTAGCCGACCCGGCTGCCCGAGCCCAAAGCCTGACCAAACAGCCATGTTGGGTGATTCACAGCAACCCGGACAGCCCATCAATTAGCCCAAACAGTACAAACAAATCCAATTGCACCCAATTGAATCCGAATAGCCAAATTGAACCCGATTGAACCCATTTGGACCCAATTGGTGCCAATTGAACCCAATTGGTCCAAATAGAGCTGCTGTCATGTCCCGGTCAAGCTTGCCGCCGACGTTGCCGGCGGGTCGCCGGAGAAGACGCCGGAAAACAGCCCCCAAACCCCAATTTCATGAATTCAACACAAACATCCACAATACTCAGTCAATCGCAAGATTATACGCTAAGGTAGTTCTAATCTACGAATTAACGCTAACGAAAGGTATAGAAACCACGAATCACCTCGAAATTTGACGAATTCAAAGCTGGACCAAGGAGGGAGAACTGCCGCTGCAACTCTCTGGTTTCGCCGGCCTGCTGCGCGACGGAGGGGCGAGGCGGAGACGTCGGTCGGAATCACTGGCGTCGCCGGCGATTACAGCGGCGGAGTATCCCGGCGGTTACTGCGGCTGCTGGCTCTCCCTGGCAGACGGACGGCGAACAGGAACGACGAACAGAGGTGAAACGGACGAAACGTGGCCCAAGTCTCGTAACTCCCCTCTCCTATTTAATACTCCGTATAAATTTAATTAAATTTTAAGGTCCAGTTTACACTTTCTAACCGGTTAGGATAATTTTAGGCCCAATAACCTCATTCGGCAGTCATATCTTGGGCCAGGTAAGTCTGATTCTCAATCCGTTTGCACGGTTGGGTTCAGAACAGCGTGTCGTACCACGTATGTCAACCCCCATATTAAATATGCAAATTAGAATATAAATCTTCGTATTGATCGACCCAATAACTAATTAATTTTATAAATTAATTAAAATACTAAGCCGGGTTTCAGGGCGTTACATTTCTTCCCCCCTTAAAAGAATTTCGTCCTCGAAATTACCTTGATCGTTATCGCAGAAATGGTGTCGAGAAATGGTGTCGACACTGAACCCTCATAGATTCCCTAGTCGCCCACGTAGCATCTTCCATGACATGGTTACGCCACATGACTTTGACTAAAGGCACCCTCTTATTCCTCAACTCCTTCACTTCCCGTGCTAGAATCTGCACAGGCTCCTCCTCGTATATCAAGTCCTCGTCTAGAGTAACCGCACCTTCGGGTAACCGATGGGTCAGATCTGATCAGTATCGTCAGAGCATAGAGGCATAGAACACATTGTGAATCTTGCTCAGTTCCAGTGGTAGCTCCAACTGATACGCTACAAGACCAACTTCCGCCATGAGGGTGGAAGATTGTGCTCACATTTAGCTTGGTACCCAGAGCTTGTTGAAGTCCCTTCCTAAACTTTGAAACGAAACAGGCACCATTATCGGAGATAATAGATACCGGCACTCTATGCAATCGAACAATCTCGCGAAGACACAATTCAGCTAACTTCTGAAGCGACATACCCCGTCAATTCGGTAGAAAGAGTGCAGATTTTGTAAGACGATCCACAATGACCCATACAGCGTCGTAAAAGTTAGCCAATTACGGAATCTATCGTGATTTAACCATTTTCACCCGAGGATATAAGGCGAATGCAACATTTTTGACGGTATTCAATGCTCGGCTTTGACTTGCTTGCAAGTCAAATTCGTGTTGTAAACTCAAAAATCTCTCCCTTCACAACGGGCCACAATAGTTTCCTTACAGGACATGATAAATCTTATTAATACCCAGTTGTATGACGAAGATACTCCCAATTTAATTAATGTAGAATAGTGGGAGAATACTCCAGTGTTGGTCCCTGGCAAATCTGAATAATGAAGAAATGAGGAGAAGATGATACAATGAAGAGTGCTGACTAAATTGGTGGAAATCTGGTAAATAGGCCTTTGATTTGGAAAGTATCACTCCGTGATGGTTTCACATTTAGGGGTGGAAATTTCTTATTTTGTTTTTAAAAGTTCTATTATAAAATTCCTGAACTGTAACATTTTTTTATGACAACTTTTTAAACATAATTCCAAATTCGACCAACTATGTGTCACGGGTCACCCCTTTTTGCGAGACCTACCCAACGATTCAGGATTCGTGAGTAAACATAATTTCCACGTCACCCTTGTATTTTACTCGTTCACTTTAAAATCTTTTCGATCTTGGGACGAGCAATTCCCTAACTTCAATAACTTAGATTCGCACGCGGAATACGCCAATGAACTCGTCTTGTCGGGACTTTCAATTTGAATATGAATTTTTCCCACCAAATTTAACTTTGAAAATCAATTAATTTTAGCACTGACATTGTTGTTGTTTTTTTTAATATTTAATTTAAACAAAAACTAAAATTACGATTTGTTACATAATTAAAACTAAATCCTAGGGTATACTTCCCGGCATTACGTTTCACTTTTTTTGGATACAACATTATGTATTTTCTTTTTTTTTTTGCATGTGCAAGATGATCGTTTTAATCATTTATCAAAAGTTCCCTAGTGAAAATGTTTAAGTGACTTAATCACTACGCCGCTTATTTAAAGGATTAACACCCAATCTTAAAATAATTATTTTTATGAAAGTAACAATTTATCTTAAATAAGATAACCTTTTACAAACTTTATTCCTTAACCCCCTTTTTGTAAAGAGGAAACGTATTGTTTTTTTTCTTTTGTTACCCATTACCACATATTGTCATCCTTGTCTGACACCGAAATAAAACACCCTCATTCGTCCGAGTCTGCAGCCCCTTCAGAATTTGGTTGTCATTTCATTATTCAACGATTCAATTGAATACTAGATGAAGTTTTTTTTAAATGATGCTACTGGGCCACCAATTTCACATCTTACCTTAGCACTACAATATACCCTTTTCTCACATGGATTGAACAAATTTAATTTCAAGCTTACCTGAAAATTATTTTTGAAGTTACTTTATATGTTTTTTTTTGCAGAGTCACTTACCACTTAAAATATTATCATCACCAATTTAAAAGAGCGAAATTGAAACCCCTTTGCAATTTGTTTTTTGAGCAACCCTCATTTAGTTGATTCATATACACAATTTGTTTTCGTATTATATAATCAGCTGTTAGCAAATTAATCTCATTAAAAGTATCATAATTGTCAAACTTTTAAATTCTTAAATGTTACCTTTAGAAGCTACTTTCTTCAAATTTAATCTAACGTCGGTCCACTTCACTTATCTATTATGTATACTAAGATAACCTTTTAGATAGTAATCTCTCACATAGTCTAAATATATGATAATTCCCTTTTTTTAATATATGATAACTACCTGTAAAACTATCTAATTCAAAAATTCTTTCTTGTGAACCATTGCTCAATATGATATTTATTATTAGCTGTGTAAGTTCATTAAGTAGCTTATAATTTATAAGTTTTTTTCATTTGCTTCAAATTATGTGTATTAACCAAAATATTTTGGTTTAGAGTTAATCCTAATTGTTCAACCCATAATATTTGTTTTCTTTTTCCTCGTTCAACAATTATTTGTTGGGAACATTTCATTCTAGACACCAAGTTTTACATATACTTTACAACATGGTGGTAGTTATAAATCTTTAACTATGAGATTTTTTTCTTTCAATATATAAAATTTAGCGAATTAGTACATATCTTGTTATTCTCTTCTAGAGTATTTGTGTTGTGTGATTCATCTCATACTATTGAGCCACCTTGTAATTCAATATTAAGCGTTAATAAGTCTTTGGTGGCGTGATGTTACAATTTTGAGATAGCTAATTATCTTTTGAGAGCCTCAGCACAACAAATTTGGTCTGAAATTAATCAGAATCAACTTCGAGGATAATTGTGAGTTATCCATTTCCCTCAAGTTGGCACCGACAACTAAGTTCATATCTACATTCTTTTATACCACCTTTTTTTTTCCTATCACATTTACATTCTTTATACGAACCAACTACTAGCGTGTTAAATCTGACTCCGCTGGTTGAGATTTTCAACTGTGACTATGTTTTTTTACTAACTCTTACACATATTATCAACATGTAATATAATATATTCTTTCTCACAATTATTAATATAACATGATCGCACTAGTCGTCATGGATAATTGTGAATTATGACTTAGGCTCGCTTGGTGAGTTTTGACTTAGGCTCGTTTGTTGCAGAGGAACGTATAGGAAACTAAACGGTGAGCATGAGTTATGAATAGAAAACATATTCCTCGGTCGTCCTTGTCGATGATCCAGATCCACTACTAGAGACATGACTTTCACGTTGCCCCTTGGGCAGGAGACATAGAGTTGGATGCGAAGATAAGAAGATTTTGATGTGTTGAGACAAAGTTTCCTCATCTTCATCCCCTTCGATTTTGATAACGTCTTTCTCGTTTTCGATAGCGGTGAATTAAGGTTGGAGATTTCCCATATCTCTAACTTTCAAAATTAAATTCTTTTTTAGTTCATCAACACCAAAATTAGGACTTTGATATTAGAGATATCAAAATCCACATTTTTTTTCTCTTCTCGCCAAATACAACTCTAATTTAAGTTTCACCCTCCAAATTCACTACACTTAAGTATTTCTTTATATAACTTAATAAACCAACCAATAAGTAAATATTAAAGACAACAAATAATTATCACATAGGCAACAATAAGGATTCAGAATTACCTCCCGGAGCAGTGACGTAGTGAAGTTGTGGATGCTCGACACATGTATATACGATATGTGTTAAAATAATAGTATTTTTTTTCCAAAATAGTTTTTTTTCAAAATTGATAATTTTTTTTAAACAAAAACCATTTTTTTTAAATATAAGTTAATCTATTTTGGCAAAGAATCGTTTTTAAAACCACATTCTCTGATACCAAAATGTAACACCCCAACCCGCGTAACCCGAACCAACGGGGTAGCGAACCGGGTTGTTACTAACTTGGTATTCGCATACATATTTTTTTTAAAATGGCCATTAAATCAAGTATAAAATTCGTCCGTAGGGTTTTAACTAAACCCGAATTCACCAGAATAATTAAATAAATCCAAACGTCGCGGAAGCATAAGAAAACCAAAGTAACGTTCAACCGTCCATATAATCAAATAAAATAATGTAGTTTAATTATTAAAGTAAACAAGAGCCATCCACGCCACACCACCACTTCACTGCCCTTCGGGTTGCCCATCCAAATCTGTGTTCCTACCTGCGTGCAGTCAAACAACAACGACTACACGCTCAGCGAAACGCTGAGTGAAAATATACCTAAGCCAACATTAACTCACAGAATAGCACCACATTAACATACAATCAAAACATCATGTGATCACAGAGAAAATAGCTTAAATAAACATATTTATATTAACACCTTCCAATTGAACATCATGTCCTTATTTTATTCCACATCAACTACTTTGAGTCATGGCACCCCAAGCGATGCTATAAAAGGGCCAGCTCGGAAACCCAAAGGAGATTCACTTTGGGCGGGTTGAAGCCCCTGTCCCTGCGATGCCAGGACAGGTCGCGGACTTCCGTACGTACGTTTTTAACCCAAGACCACCGGGTGTGCGACGACGCCCCGCAATGGCCAATTTTTTAACCATAACCTATTGGTGATTCAATTAGTCAATCCAATTCAGGTCCGCCTAATTATATTAGGTGGCCTATTTCCCATATACTATTCATAATCCACAATTTTCATCAATAAGATCAATTTAATTTAAATCTCAGTTTACAATTCACAACAAATCACGTAGCGGCCTATCCGGGCCAAAGACCCACGATTACCGTCATGCATAACCAAACAAACCCAAATTACAATTAACCCAACTCACCTGCGCGGAATCGAGCCCAAGGAATCGATCCTTAGACCCGCTGCCCCCGCCGGAGCAGTCCCCAACGTCGCCGGACCAACCCGGCACCCCTGCCGGTAGCCGACCCGGCTGCCCGAGCCCAAAGCCTGACCAAACAGCCCTGTTGGGTGATTCACAGCAACCCGGACAGCCCATCAATTAGCCCAAACAGTACAAACAAATCCAATTGCACCCAATTGAATCCGAATAGCCAAATTGAACCCGATTGAACCCATTTGGACCCAATTGGTGCCAATTGAACCCAATTGGTCCAAATAGAGCTGCTGTCATGTCCCGGTCAAGCTTGCCGCCGACGTTGCCGGCGGGTCGCCNGAAAACAGCCCCCAAACCCCAATTTCATGAATTCAACACAAACATCCACAATACTCAGTCAATCGCAAGATTATACGCTAAGGTAGTTCTAATCTACGAATTAACGCTAACGAAAGGTATAGAAACCACGAATCACCTCGAAATTTGACGAATTCAAAGCTGGACCAAGGAGGGAGAACTGCCGCTGCAACTCTCTTGTTTCGCCGGCCTGCTGCGCGACGGAGGGACGAGGCGGAGACGTCGGTCGGAATCACTGGCGTCGCCGGCGATTACAGCGGCGGAGTATCCCGGCGGTTACTGCGGCTGCTGGCTCTCCCTGGCAGACGGACGGCGAACAGGAACGACGAACAGAGGTGAAACGGACGAAACGTGGCCCAAGTCTCGTAACTCCCCTCTCCTATTTAATACTCCGTATAAATTTAATCAAATTTTAAGTTCCAGTTTACACTTTCTAACCGGTTAGGATAATTTTAGGCCCAATAACCTCATTCGGCAGTCATATCTTGGGCCAGGTAAGTCTGATTCTCAATCCGTTTGCACGGTTGGGTTCAGAACAGCGTGTCGTACCACGTATGTCAACCCCCATATTAAATATGCAAATTAGAATATAAATCTTCGTATTGATCGACCCAATAACTAATTAATTTTATAAATTAATTAAAATACTAAGCCGGGTTTCAGGGCGTTACAGCAGTGCTTTGACTCTTATCTGTAAATAAACACCATTTTCTTCCAATTTTTCTTTGAAAGTGTGTATATTTCAATCTCTGATCTGGACATGAATTCAATCTCTCTAACAGTGTAAATGAAAAAAGTGCACATTCGCATCATTACAGCGTTGTGAATGTATAAGTATTTTAGGTTAATTATAATAAAACAACTAACATCTGATGATGAAAAATTATATCCTAGGATTCAGGTCTCCTAGCATGGGTGGGGAAATAATAAACTCTTATCAATCTTAATTTAAGCATCAAAAATGATGACCTCTCACTAATATTTTTTAGAGTTAATTCCATAATTAGCCTTTGTAACGGGGGTTTCCCTATTTAGTCCTCTATTATCAAATATTACCCCAGTGGTCCTTCTTTTATGGGTATCTTTTCACAAATAGTCCTTTTTTTATCTTCTATCATGTTGGTGTTAATTTGAAGGCTAAAAGTGTAATTTCACAATGATAATATATCTTTTGTCATACACAATTCCAAAGGTTGTTCTGTTTGCATCGTTTGTGAATTACAATCATTTTCTACTACAATCATAGTCTACAAATGTGGTCTTTCGTCAGATCCTAGTCCACAATCATACTCATTATTTTTGTGTTATCCGCTTAACCAATATCAGAACACGTCACTAGACATAATTTTGATGTCAAATTATACTTTTAACCTTTAAATTAACACCATCATGGCAAAAGATAAAAAGGACCATTTGTGGAAAGGCACCATTAAAAAAGGACTACGAGGGTAATATTTGGTAATAAAAAACTAAATATAGAAACCCCCATGTTATAAAGGACCAATTTTGGAATTTACTCTATTTTTTACATTTGTTAACAATCCCATGTTACTCGAAAGGTAGAATTGAATAATTATATAATATTTAATATTATAAGAATTTAATAAGAAATTTAAAACTCAAAATGCACTTGAAAGAGGGTAATTACAAAAAGAGTTTAAGAATGTCCGTATTTATAATAGGAAAATTTTAATTTCTTTCTATATTTTGGATTTTGTAAACTTTTTTTTTAAATTTTCGTGATGGTGTAAATATCGTGCAAATACGAAGTATAAATGAGCGGAAGGGTTGTAGGTGCAAACACTTGTAACCTGGTTTGTTATTAATGATACTGAGACTGATTACAAAAATACAAGCCGTGTAGGTTAATTAGAACATGCCTCACTAATGAGACTTTTACTCCTATTTATAATAATGAATAAGCACGTCAAGTAGGTCTCGACGTTACTGTTCCTCTGCCCGGTCAGTTTTCACCCGGTCAGTACGCATGCCTTCGTGAGGTGAGGCCATGTGTGTGATTCCAAATCTTTTCACCCCTGACCGGTCAAACCGCCCGGGTCAAACGGTCATAGGGTGTTGGATTTGATACCTCCCAGTCGGTATGAACCTATCGGGTAGAATCCATGGGTTATTTGGGTACCATCAGGGGCGGGAAGCATATGTGAGCTTCTTTTCAAATTTCAATTCCCTGGGCTATTTTGGCGGAAATATGGCACTTGTAAACCGGCGCCAAAACAAATATGTTTGAATTTCAAATTTCAAAATCTCAGGCGTCAAACGCGGGGAAATCTGTATTGGAATTCGGTACGGCGTCGCCGATTTGTCGCGTCGTTCCATCTTCCCAAGAAGTTATCATTAGGAATCATTTTGGCTACCACGTGTCGCTCCCCCATTCGTCCGGCTGGGCGGAACCTCCCCTATATAAAGCGAGGTTCCCCACCGAATTTTCTCACTTGCAATTTGCTATCCAAAAAACTGTGCATGCCTGGTTGCTTCCACTATCTCTCGAGTCCTCCGAGTCTTCTAGTTTCAAGTAAGTCTCCGTTCTCCCTCCTCATTTCTTTGAGTCATGTCCGACCACGAGGATAGCGGTTCTGTTCATTCTTTCGATTCTGGTGCCCGTTCTTAGACCTCTAGTTCCCAATCCTCTTCTTCTTCTGAGCGCCCAGCTACTTTTCCGCAGAAGAAGCCGGTTGATGCTTCCACTTGTGCCCCTTCTTCCGTGGCACAAGTGGTCTCGGTTGCCCGGTCTGTGGACGAGGGCTTCATTCTGTTGGAAGAGCAACCGTCGTAATCCAGAAGGCTCAAGTCCACGAGCTACGCAACCTGATGCCCGATGGTTACCAGTTGTGCTACCGGGCAACGTGGAAGAATATTATATCTCTCCACGCCGGTACGACGATTGGAATCTACTACCATTCTATCAAGGACTTGGGTGAATTTTCCATTCATCCCTTCAAAGTCCTTTTCTTTGAGACATATGGGGTCATGCCCGGGCAGTTAGCCCCTAATGGTCACCGTATGCTCAGCAGTTTCATCAATGTCTGTCGCTTCCTTCGCATCCCCCTCTCACTCTGTCTCTACGACCATATGTTCGATGTCCGGACCGGGTCCAAGGAAACCCTTGGATTCGAGATCGTGTCCTCCCATCAGGGCCGGGCATTCCTTTATAGTCTTCCTCCTTCCAACAGGGGTTGGAAGGATAAATATGTTTCTATCAAATTCTCCCCGGTCACTTTCCCTTTTGCCCAAAATGCCTGGGGGAAAAGAATGAAACTCTAGGTCAAGCCCAGGGAGACTGATGACATGGCCACCTGGGAAGCCACTCTCCGGACCGGGGACACCTCCACCTGTGGTCCTTATAACGTTGAGATGTGGGGGGTCTAACCGGGTCTAGAGACCGACCCTGAACCTGAGATTGTTCTGGGAGAGGCAATCCCAGATGCAATTCCCCTTCGCCGCGTCCAAGGTTCCAAAGCCCCGGTCTTTGCCGTCGCCGGTTCCTCGCGCCGGGGGAAGAAGAAGGAGAAAGGTCCCTCTTTACCTCTCTATATTTTATTCTATTTTTGCTCCGACTCTCTTTTACTAACCTGTTTTACTATTCGTTTTTGTAGTGGTGAAGTTCAACTCCAAATTTTCCATCCCCCAAATCGAGGACGTGGAGGAGCCCTCAACCGCCCAACCCTTCAGCCAGCCCTCTGGTCAGCCACTGACATTGGATGAGCAGCCGGCCTAGTCTCATCAAGGCACCAGCCAACCAATCCACTCCGGGGAGATCTACATCAACGTAGACACCCTAGAATTGATAACATGCCGATGGAGACTGGCCATACATCAAAGGCCGGTCAGGGCGCTCGGTAGACAGAGGGAGGTGGCGAAGAGAAAGCCGCAGAGGAGGCCCTCTTGAGGAAGAGGCGGAGGACTCAGACTGTAGAATAGTATGCTCAGTCCTCCGATGCGGGGAAAAGGCAGGGAGAGCCCCGATCTTTAGCTCTGATGGCCCGGTTAGATGAGGAGCTATTCCAAGCTTTTTACACCGACCTGAATGAGGTACCCCCCGCCCTCTCATATCCTAAAATATTTTTGTAATCATTTGCTGAGATATTTCCATCTTTCTAAAGCAGGTCAGCTGGATCGGTCAGGAGTGGTTCACCCGGCTTGTCAAATCCAAGGATGAGGAGAAAGCCTGGTTGGAGGGCATGATGGTGGCCTGCCAGAAGGAGGCAAAGGCCGCCTATCAGAAGGCGGAGAAGGCTGAAGAGAAGCTGATGGAGCATTGTGCTGCCTATCAGAAGCTCTATGCCAAGCACGACGAGTTGCTGAAGGCCTCTAAAGAGGCTGATGCCCAAGCTCAAGAGAAGATCCAGGAGCTTGAGGGGGAGAAGGCCGAACTGAAGGAGAAGACCGCCCAATTTACCGACGAGATTACCTAGCTAAGGGCCGAGCTGGAAAAGGAGCGTGCTGACCGGGCCTCGCTTGCTGCTGCCTGGGCTGCCCAAGAGCCAGAGTAGTTTGCCGCCCGGGCGATTCCAGACCGGGAGACTGCGATCCGGTTCTTCCAGGGTCTCTTCAAGCATGAAGTGTCCCCCAAGGTCGTAGTTGAGATCGGGACCTTTGGTTTTGAGAGTGGCCATTACGAGGAACGCTGGGCGCTCTATGGTATTCTCAAGAGGCGGATTCAAGGTTTTGAACCCAAGGCCTTCTCTCTTCCCAAGCTTCATGACGAAGCACCGGTCGCCCCCTTCGAAGAGATCTGAGCCCAAAGCCTTCTCTCTTTTTTTATTATTTTTGGATGTAATGATCAGCCTTCAGGCACTTTTGTAAAACACTTTAATATTAATGAAATTTATTTTTCCATACTGTGTGTTGAGTGTTTGATTACTTGTTTGTTTGAACAAATGCATCGACTACTTTGAACTTTAAAATGATTAGTTAAACTTTAAATTCAATTCCAGGTAGATTATTCAGAAACAGCCCGGCTGTATCTACCCGATCTAAAGAATTCACCCAAGTCTTTTCGAAAGACTGACTAGGTGATGGGGAGAGATGGAGTCCGACCGGTTCCCTCCCAAAAGTTTACCATGTCCTTTCCATGGTTTTCCACCCGTGTGTAAACGAAGCCAGCTTATCTTTTACATTGGCTTACTACCTGTGTTGAAAGATAAGCCGTGTATTACGATCGCTTGACCATACAAATCCGGGATGCTCTCCCTTTGTGGTTACGTCATTTGATTCCGTGTCAGTACGGAGAGTTTGACCAGACCGGCTGGCTATATCTATTTTTGGATGTCCAATTCGATTGAACATCTACCCTTCTGCAACCAATCTCGGACAGGTTGTAAAAACAATACTTCCGAAAAGAACAAGTTTTATTTCATAATCGGGAACATATTACACTTATCAATAAAACTTGCGCAGGTGGTGAGAGTTCCAATGCCGATCGACTCGTCCACCCTCCATGGTTTCCAGCTGATAAGTGCTCGGGCGGATAATCGCCCTAATGCGATACGGCCCTTCCTAGTTGCGCACTAACTTGCCTCTTTCGTTGGGCTTACTAGCATCCCTTCTTCGTAAGACTTCATCGTGCACTTGGAAATAACATGGACTAACTCGGTTATCATGATATCTTTTTACTGATTGCTGATACCTGGCCATTTTGACGGCTGCCATCATTCTTCTCTCTTCCACCAGATTCAATTCTACCATGTGGTCAGCCTCGTTCTGACCGGCGTGATACATGACCTCTCTAAATATTGGGAATTCTACCTCGATGGATAACCAGGCTTCACATCCATAAGTGAGCACGAATGGTGTCTCCCCAGGTTGTTCTTCCAGAAGTTACCCTGTGTGCCCAGACTGTATGAGGTAGTGCTTCCAACCATTTGCGCCCTTCTTCGCCCAGCCTTTTCTTTAGCCCGTCCACTATTGTCCGGTTAGCGTTTTCAACTTGACCATTTCCTTAGGGGTATGCCATCAAAGCCTTGTTATGCTTGATCCCAAAACTGGCCAAATACGCCGTAAACCGGGGGTGGCGAAACTGTGGTCCGTTATCAGTCACTGTTGTAGACTTGTTGTGAGGTCCAACACAAATTAAAAATTTATAAATAACCTTAGCTAACCCCCAAAATAGAATCAAATAAAAACTATAGCTAGGGCAAGTAAGGGTCGATCCCACAGAGAAAGTTTATATTTTTTTAAAATCAATTTAGTATGCGAACAAGTTGTCACGAAAATAAATATGAAAATAAAACTAACTACTACACATATGATAACACTTATAAAACTTTAATAAAATTTATAAATATAACTTATATAAATAAAGAACTTATAATATAACTTAAACACAACACAAAGAGGGGGGTTGAATAAAAAGTAAATATTTTTTGGGTTTTTTATATTTTCTTATTTTTTTGGTTTTTTTGATAAAATGGGGGAAAAGAAGCTTTATAGATATTCAACTTTTCCAACTAAGGTAACCCAAGAAACACCGCTAAGAACTCGAAACAAAATGAAAAAAGAGAACAAACACAAGTTAAAAAATGACTTAAAATACTCCCACGCGTATTTAATTAAAAATTCGTTTAGTTTCGCATGTTCTTATTTTTTTCAGCAAAACTCGTTTAATGCCCATAAGATAATACCAAAAAAATGATGTTTGAAGAAACAAAAGTGTCCAGAAATAAGTCCACTAAAAGTTGTGTTCCAATTAAATACTGTTTAAAACAAGTCTTTTTTATCAAATCCCAAAAATATGTGCTATTTTAATTAAAAAAATGGTATTTTGGGAAAATAAATATGTTTGAAACACCTACTCCGTCTAAAAATTGTGAGTGGTCGAATATGGTAAAAAAGGTCGAATGGGTCGAATTGTCAAATAAGAAAAAGTAAAATACCTAAGAAATTATCCGAAAAAAGAGTTGTATAAACACATTAAATCCCCAGGCACGCATACCTTGAAAAGATCAGATAAATATAAATGTTCATTAAAAAGTAATCAATTAAATTGTTGTTTTACCGTCTGTGATGGCGGTAAACTCCCACCATAAAGGTGTTGTTCCCCACTAGCCTCATCACAAGCTTGTCCCCAACCCGCAAACCATTCGAATCAACAAAGTAATGTCATATTGTCTTCAGGAACCCATCACCAATACAATCAACCTTGACTGTGTAGACCACGGGCAGCATGTCGGGTCCTATGAGAGTGATATTTGTTTTTCCCTCTTCAAAGCCATTTGTTGTACAAAATTGTTTACTTAAGGGCTGAGACAATAACGAATTAAAAGTCATTAATTAATGGGAGGAAACTACACCATGGATTCCAAAAATTCATCTATAACTAAAAAAGCATACCAGCTTCTAGGATGACTCCCGAAAGTGTGATTCTTCCAACTTGAAAACAAACACATCATCATCATCATCAACAACATCATCTGCAACTGATAATTGCAAATCACTGCATACATTACAGTTTTGTGTGGGGGGAGGGGGGGGGGAACATATACCATATTTGAAAATCTTACCAGAATCATAATTAGAAATTCTGATTGGGTAGTCAACTTCTGAACCAAGGGTCGAAATCATAGTGGCTGTGTATGCGATAATTTTCTGAACAGAATATGCTAAAGATGTTTGCATTGGTGGTCATAATTAAAGAACGTTTCTCCACCCATTCTCGGCAGCGAATCGATGCTTGCCGTCATCTCCAAGAACAACTTGGACTGGATAACACCCAATCCGAATATATATATATATATATCCAATCTCTCCTCCCGTGGATGATAGCGAGAAGTAATGACCTGTAAATCATGATATCGAGTTTATAGGGAAACATGCATGTGTTAGTCATATGCATTCTAGTGACCTCTTACCGTGCCGGTATAAGTATCCCCTTTAATGACCACCATGAAATATGATTGCGGCATGTTTTCACTCACAACGGCTTTGGAGAATGTGAAGGTATGAAGAAAAGATTTTAAAGAGAATGAGTCTTGGCGGAAGAGGTGGAAGTGGCGGAAGCAGCGAGGAAAGAAGAAAATAAGGAGGCGATGGAGGAGGAAGATAAGGAAATTTTGACTTTTCAATTCTCATTTAACATAAATATGGCGGGACTCGCAGAAAATTCCAAAATTTTGTCTTTTCAATTCTAATTTAACAAAATTTTGTCTATATTCATCGCATTTCTAATTTTGTACATTTTGGAGCAGTACGGAACCGTACTACATTGCCAATTCTCTCAGATTTTATAATGTTGACTCTAATTTGAACAAGTAGGACCATTACTATTGTGTTGACCAATATTGTTGTGGACCAATACTGTTGTTGGGGAACCTTGTTTCTAGATTTTTACCATTATTATTGATAATACTCCTCATTAAGTGGTCCGAACTTAATTGTTACAACTACGGTACAGTTAAACTCGTAACTGAATTGCTATCACTACTACGGTTCGAACTTAATTGTTAGCACCAACAGGTACAAGTTAGGGGTGGACACGGTACCGATACGGTACCGTGACCGGCAACGGTACCGCTGGTATCTGCCACCGTCACCGCCGGCCGGGACGTTCCACCGGTTCCGGGAATCGGTACCGGCACCGGCCCCCACGGTACTGGTTCCGGTACCCATTTTTCGGTACCGGCACCGGCGGTACCGGTTCCAATTCTGGTACCTTTTTTTTTGTCCAGCGGCTCCAGCTTCACGTTACTCTCAATTGTTTAATATGAGGAGAAAATGAAGAACAAAGCAGCAGAGATTCACAGGGAAGCAGAAGAGAGAAGGGCACAGGTTGAGGACTTGAGGCCGAGAAAGGGGAAGGAATGCTCAACTTAGAAGAGGCTTCTTCCAATTTCCGCTCCAACGGATACGTCCCCCATACCCTCCGTTGTCGCCTTTGTTTTTGCTGTTGATGTCGTCCCTGCTAGCTTGCTGCTGTCAAAGCAAAAAGCAAAAAAAAAAAAAAAAATTAATTTGGGGGTGGCCAGTCTGGTACCGGAACCGCCAGTCTGGGTACCGGAACTGGTACCGGCCGGACGGTCACGGTACCGGTACCAAGGGGTGGCGGTTCCGGAACCGGAACCGTCCCAGAACCGTACAGTGTCCACCCCTAGGTGCGACTACGCTGAAGTTAAACTTGTAACTAAATTCCTACCACTGCTACGGTCTGAACTTAACTGTTAACACCAACAGGTACGACTACGCTGAAGTTAAACTCTCAACTGAATTCCTACCACTACTACGATCTGAACTTAATTGTTAACACCAACAGGTACGACTACACTACAGTTAAACTCTCAACTGAATTCCTACCACTACTATGGTCCGAACTTAATTGTTAACATTTACAGGTACGACTACGCTACAGTTGCTCCGGTGTTCTCCATGGCAAACAAATATGTGGTAGTAATTGAAGGTATTCGACGACGATATGCAATGGAAAATGAAGAGCAGAACAGTTTCGATTGATGAAGGCGTAGCGTTTCCGAAGATTGGTTGGGGGATTAAGGAGGGATTGGTGCTTCAAACGACGCCATTTGGTCTTTCCGAAAATCATCTTGATGCTTTGAAGGCAACCTAACGACTGGTTGTTAATTTTAATTTTAATATTTCCCTTTTCCATAAATTCTTCGGTTCAGTCCTGGTTCCTTTTCCAGATCTGTTTTCTCATCCTTTACAAATTACCTCCTCTCCTTGCTCTGGGAGAAAGTGACAACCGAATCGCCATCTGCCATGGCGAGTAGAGCCTCTCTTCTCATTTTTCTCTTTTTCTTCTCCTCCGCCTATACTGTCTTATCTCTCTACGAAGACCAAGTCGGCCTCATAGACTGGTACTTTCACTCTCTCTACTCACTCACCCTTCCTTGTATATGCCAGCCGTTTCCGTGTTTGTTGTGAATGCTGTGATTTGATTTTATTTTTTATGAATTGGTGATGGTAGGCATCAGCGGTACATTGGAAAAGTGAAGCACGCTGTGTTCCACACGCAGAAGGCTGGGAGGAAGCGCGTAGTTGTCTCCACTGAAGAGAATGTCATCGCCTCGCTTGATCTTCGTCATGGAGATATTTGTAAGTTTTTCAATTCAATTGGAACTGATCTAAATTCATTTGCGAAGCGTTCGATTAGGAATTATGACTATGGGTTATTGCTTTATTTCTTTATCACAACTACAAGCTTGTGAAAGTGTACTTTTTTAATGCATTATCCCAATAATCTGCAGCATCTACATAAGAATTACCAAATGAGAGATAATACGTAGTAATTTTCTCTCTGTCTCTCTGTTTACTCCATTGCCTGAAAGCATTACGCTGGTTAACCTAATTATACTATTTGCAGTTTGGAGGCATGCATTGGGGCACAAGGATGTCATTGATGGGATTGACATTACCCTTGGGAAATGTACAAGTTCTCTCTCACAAGTTTGCAATATTTTTGAAATACTAATAGTTCTTTCATATCTGTGTTTCTTAAGGTTCATATTGCTTGCACTAATGAGTGGTAAGTTACAGAGCAATAAGTTACTTCCATTCTAGTTCTCTGTAAAACATACTGTACTTCGTTGTATATGATCACTCATCAGTGCAAGCAATAATGGAGTTTGACTTTTCTAAACTCTATAGAAGTACTCCCATTTCCCCTTTTATCCTCCTACTTTATTTTCTAAGCCACCCTTGACTAATCCTCCTTTTCTCTTTTAAGTAAAAAGTCGTGGTCCATGTTCTTCCATACATTTATTGACAAGAAAAATCAGTGCCAAGTGAAACCTACGATATTGAATGTAGAGAGATGTAATAATAGTGTTTTTCTATATCTGCAAGTATGATTGTGAAATTTCTAAGGAAATTATGTGATTACTCTGTATAAGTTAAGATCAAGCACTTTGTGCATTTGCATTTCACTGTTTGTTGGGGTTCGCAGAAATATACTCTCTATTCCTTGGGCAGGAGTAAGGTCAAAGGTAGAAGGTCTGCATGCATCCTGTCCATAAAATCTACAATCTACATTCTAGTGGCCTAGTGGGTTTTGCTGGGTTTTTTGGTCTGCCCATGCATGATGCTAGAGCATTTATTTGTGTTTTATTTATTCTAACAGCATGCATTGATACTTAGACATAACATGTGAAGAAATATACTCTCTATATGGATTAAGTGTCTGACTAGGTTATTGTTCCTCTTCCAGATGTTATTACTCTGTCATCTGGAAGCACTGTAAGAGCATGGAACCTTCCTGATGGCCAGATGGTGTGGGAGTCATTCATTGGAGGTTCAAATCCTTCAAAATCATTTTTAGTAATTCCGGTAAGTTCAACATTTTGATTTTTACACTCAAGTACTCCATTAAGTCAATGTTATCAAACTATTTTTGGATAGTCAAATATGCTTTCGTATATAATTTTTATAATGTATAAGTGATGTCTTTAACTCATCTTTTTTTTCCTACACATTTTGCAGTCAAATTTGAAAGTTGACTGGAATAGTTTGATCCTTATTTATAGTAATGGGCATCTGCATGCTGTTTCAAGCACCGATGGTGAGGTTATCTGGGCAAAGGAGCTAGTAAAAGAGGGGTCAGCAGCTAATATAGTGTACTTATTGGCATCCTCTTAGCTTCTTGAGTTCTTGTGCATTTTTAATTCAGTGTGTGCAATTTTTTTTGCAGTATTGATATTCAGCACATAGTTCATCCTGAAGGAACTAATGATGTATATGCTGTAGGACTTACTAGTTCATCTCAGTTTGAAGCATATAAAATAAATGCTATAAATGGTGAACTGCTGAAGCATGAGAGCATGGTATTTCCTGGTGGCTTTTGTGGCGATCTATCACTGGTCACAAGTGACAGAGTGGTGGGCCTGGATTCCACTGGGTCAATTTTACTCTCTATAGCTTTCAAGGATGGACTAATTAACTTCCAACAGGTGCATATAGCAGATCTTGTTCAAGATTTTACAGGAACAGCAGTGCTCTTACCTTCTAAGCTTATAGGGATGGTTACTATTCACATAAATAAATCTATACTTTTCATTAGAGTTACACATGAAGGGAAATTGGAGCTAGTTGACAGTGTTGCTTATGGTGCTGCTCTAAGTGAATCTGTATCTGTTTCAGAAGGTCACCAAGCTTTTGGGCTTGTTCAGCATGACGATGTTAAGATTAATCTGTCTGTAAAATCAGTCAATGACTGGGATAGCAATTTGCTTGAGGAAAGCTTAAAGTTAGACAGCCAAAAGGGCCTTGTTTACAAAGTTTTCATCAACAATTATATCAGGACAGACAGATCTTATGGATTTAGGGCCTTAATTGTCTTAGAAGATCATTCTTTATTGCTATTCCAACAAGGTGAGGTTGTCTGGAGTAGAGAAGATGGACTTGCCTCCATTGTAGATGTAACAACATCAGAATTGCCCTTTGAAAAGGATGGAGTATCTGTTTCAAAAGTGGAGCAGAACCTTTTTGAATGGCTTAAGGTATTTTTCTTGCATAACTTTGTCTTAGATCTTATATTCTTTAAATAGATGTTGGTCAAAAATTCAAAATGCTCTCTTGGAAACAGTGTCTCTACTTTTGTGTAGGGGTAAGGTCTGCGAACACACACCCTCCCCAAACCCTGCTTTGGTGGGATTTTACTAGGTTTTTTGTTGATGTTGTTGGTTGAAATGCTGAAGCATAAATTTAATTATAAAGGATAGATCATCAATATCATCTTCAACACATTAATGCTAACTGCATCGGGCTTAGCCGCATCCAAAGTGTCAATGATATGTCTAAAACTATTTAATACAATAATATCATATATTCTTTTTAAGATGATTGTGGCAAAGTCTTATGCCACATGTTTTTCACTACCTTCTAACGAAAGAATAAGGAGTTGAAATTCCAAATTGTCATCATCATTGGGATTTTCCCTTCATGGAGACTACAAGGGTGATTAGTTGAGATGGTTTTGTTTTCATATCTCGTTTGCAAAATTGATATTATAAAATTCAACATGTCGGCCATGAACATTGTTCTTTTATAATTGTGAAGTTGTTATTCTTGGTTGAACTTTTTGATGTCTCTGTGACAATTGGATTAATCCTGACGGGTCAATGAAGTAGCTATTCTAGTATAAACTGGTGATGTGTTTTCTATTATCAATTTTGGTAAGACTGCAGTGGTTGAACTTTTTGATGTTTCTGTGACAATTGGATTAATCCTGACGGGTCAATGAAGTAGCTATTCTAGTATAAACTGGTGATGTGTTTTCTATTATCAACTGTGGTAAGACTGCAAGATCTAAATTTATCTATTTTGTTCTTGCTGGAAGGGACATATGCTGAAGCTTAAACGAACTCTGATGCTTGCTACGCCGGATGATATGGCAGCCTTACAACATATGAGATTACAAAGCTCTGAGAAAAGCAAAATGACTCGGGACCATAATGGATTCAGGAAACTACTCATAGTACTTAGTCGAGCTGGGAAGCTTTATGCATTGCACACTGGAGATGGGCGGATTGTTTGGTCTTACCTTGTGAATGCTCTCCGACAATCCGAAACTTGTGAACATCCGAATGGCTTCAAGATATATCAATGGCAGGTCCCACATCATCATGCCATGGATGAGAACCCATCTGTTCTTGTGGTTGGCAAATGTGGGTTAAATTCAGATGCTCCCAGTGTTCTGTCTTTTGTTGATGCAAACACTGGGAAGCAACTCAGCTATGTGAGACCTGGTCATTCCATTGCACATGTTATTCCTCTCCAGTATACTGATTCAACTGAACAACAACTACATCTACTCATAGATACTGATGGTCATGGACACTTATACCCCAGAACTCCTGAGGCTCTTGGCATATTCAAACGTGAACTGGGTTACATATATTGGTATTCAGTGGAAGCCAATAACATCTTAAGGGGGCGTGCATTGATGGAGAAGTACTTTCATGGATTGGATGATGAGTACCATTTTGCAACTAGGGATGTATGGTCAGTTGTCTTTCCTCCAGAATCAGAACACATAATTGCCACTGCTACAAGAAAATCAAATGAGGTGCTTTATCTTCTTTTTCAAAATAAATTTTAAGTAGAAATTTATGGACCAAATTCATTGGGAAATTTTTAAAATACCTTATGAAATTCTTTCCCTGGTTTTAGTCTTATTGAGCAGAGCTTTCAAGTAATACTTATGACATATTCTCTCAAAGAAACCATCATCTTTGCTCCTGTTTTAGTCTGTAATCAATAATTCTTAGTTATCTCATGAGCTATAGTCATTCTTTGTTAGTTACAACAACAAACCCAATAAGTGCACACAGACCTTATCCCATCGAGTGGGGGTCTGGGGAAGGTGAGGGTGTTAGAAACCTGTTAGGGCCGCTATCTCAACCTTGTATTCTTCTGATGTTCTGTAGTAACAGAATTACAGAAGTACTTTTTCAGCCTTCCGCACCCAACTCTGTGCATCTCCGCTGCCGAATTTAGGGAACTCCAATTTGGATCTGGGAAACCGATGGTGGCTGTGATCATTTTCACATTCAGAATCGTTCGTGTACTGCTTCATCTTTGTTTTCGCTTGATTACTTCTGGCCTGCACCTTCAGGACAGTCACTTCTGCCTTAAGGTCACCTAACACAGAAAGCATGGCAGCGATTTGTGCTAGAGTGTTGTTCGGCGTAACTTCGTTCACTGGTTGCTCGTTGGTTTCATCATCCTCACTCTTGGCAGCATTTGAATGGAAAATCGCCATTAGGATCGGGTAATGAGTGCTATGATACCAAATGATAGAAACCTGTTAGAATTAATTCGGGATCTAAATTAACACTACTACACTAGGAAATAACAACGTGAAAGTCTTTTTATTTAATGACTAGTGATTTAATTAAAACAGCAACGAACTTAATTAAACAGTATGAAGTAATATAATTAATGGTGCTGACATGGCCTTCTCCTATAAGTTATCCAGATCTTATCAGTGTTTGCAGACCTTATCCCTAAGGAGAAAGTACAAAGGCTGTTTCCAAGAGCCCCGATCGAAAGCAATAGGAACATAGGAAAACCACCATTCTTTGTTAATTGTTACAGGAAAGTCATTTGTATTATCTACATTCGTGCTTTGATATGTTTCTTTCCATCACATTCTGTATCCTGCTATGACCATCTTGGTGGGTAGGAGTTCTTCGATGAAGGCATCACAGAATGTCACTGATTTCTCTAAGACTCGGGGACTTGTCGATGAAGGGAGACAGTAGGTGACGATGTCTTGTTTAGATCTTTTGCCGATGGACTTCTCAGATGACTTTGATAGTTTCAACCACTGTACCTTTATTTTTAATAGGGGAACTTTATAATTTTGCTAATCCATTTCTCTTGGTATCTGTGCCAATAAATTTTTTTTATAGTCTGATTTGGTGTGTCTTAATATATCTAGAGTAGTTTTGGATGCTTGCTTTCATGATCTTTGAAACTTTTTTAACTTATTTTGTTTCAAAGTAATTGTGGTGACCTTGAAGGTTGAAGTTTATGCATTACAATACCACCTTGGACCTTGGTTCCGTCCGTGATAACTATCATTCTCTGGCTATAGGAGTGTCCCTTCATTTATGTTCCGAAATGCTAGATTCAAAATTTTGATTAGATCTCCATAAAAGAAAGAACTAAAAGGGCAAGGGGGAAAATACATAAGAACGGAACCAAAAAGATTGAATGAAAATATGAGATTGTAATTAGGTCAGAGAATGATAAGAAAAGGAAATTAGTATGAGGATTGAGGAAGAAGATCACTTGCGCATAAGACCAGAGCCCGGAGACGAGTTGAAAATGAAGATCACATACGATTGTGTAGAAGACAGTTATTTAGTTAAACAAGTCGGTTGAGCTCTAGGCTCAGCATTTTTATTTGTCTGATTAGAGAAAAGTGACATTTTATGTTGGGCTTGTGCAAATAATTTGACCCAGAATATATCCATTTTATTTAAGAAGGGCTTTATAAAAGTCTTATGAACTAGAAACTTTACACATTTGTTGTGCCACACTAGAAGCTTTTTCTAATGTCAAAGGGATAAAATAATTTTTGAAATAAAATTTAGTTTATATACCCAAAGTAAGGTTCATGCCCCACGCAGCACTACATCATACACGTGCAACGGTTTTGGTAACTTAACCTCTAGCATCATCCCTTGGTCCTCTTGGTGGTTGCATCTTTTGGTGGGTCATCTGTCATCTTTATCATCTTCATCGATAACTGCTTAGTAGAGTTTACTCGTCTTAGTTTGTGTTCCTTGGTTTTTGGAGTCATGGGAACAACACCAGAGACTCAAAAGCTCGCACATATTGGCAAAAAAGATCAGGATAAGTCCAACCTTAGAAAATGAATTAAAAGCGCCTATGCCAGAGACCATAATGACATAACCAAATTCAAAACCGATTGACAAAGATTCTGATCACTGAAGGCTGCTCATTCGCTGGCATGTGAAGTATTTGGCAATGGTTTGGAGGCGCATGTGGCTCATGCAAAAGAATTTTACCATTTAAGCTACTAAATTGCTAGGACTAGGGTGATTGGGTAGATTCTTGGACCCTCTTTTGTAGTTTTTATTCATATGTTTTGATCTTAGATTGTAGCTAGTGCTTATGTAATCCTGTGCTTTGGGTCTCGTTGTTAGTGTCAGTTTGGGTAAATATGTGCGCTTCTTGAGTTCCTGCTCTTACCCGATGTGTGATTCGATGTTCACTTTTTTACTTCTCTTTTACTTTACTATGTTTGTGTTCCTTTTTTGAGTTGGAGGTCTGTACTTTTCAGTGGAGCTAAGGTCTGCATACACACTCCCACCCTAGAGACTACTTTTGTGGTACTTTACTGGGTTTTTTTGTTGTTGTTGTTGTTGTAACTTATTGAAATGCTAATCAAAGAGGCACAACTCTTGGTGTTTGCGGCGAAACTTCAAGACATGCATCCAATATTTGTCATATATTTGGAGTCTCCGGCAACAGTTGGGGAGGCACATGTGGCTCACACACATGAACCTTACCAGCGTAACTTGTAATGCTTTCTAAAATGAGGCACACGTCTTAATATTTGTCGTGAGAGACTCCAACACGAGCATCCAAAATCTTCTATATATTAGGAGTGAAGTGTTTTTACAATCCCTACCACGATACTGTGTATTACTTATATTAGAGAAGACCAAAGTACTAATCATATATCCACGTTTGGATGATTAATAAATCTATTCAATCCTTAATATTGTAATGTCAATCTCTAAGATTCATGTCAATAATATATATGTTTAATATTTTACAGCTCATTGCTTTTCTTTTGAAAAATCATGGAAGCATTCAAATTGCTCTGGGATAGTATTGCATGGTTAATGCAGTAAATTTAATTTCGTGCCTTTTCCATCATCTCTGATGGAGCCAAAGATTAACTATTTCTTGGCTTTGGGGTATGATACAATAAAGCAAAACGGCTCTTTGAACTATTTGCACTTTTTTTATAGTGAAGTAGCAGTTAGTCAATGCAACTTTTGACGCTCATCATTGGTCATTTGGAACAGCAATTCTATGCGTTAAACGTACGGATCAAGCTGTGTACATCCGACCCCCCCTCCCCCCAACCACAATGGGTGGGAGCCTTTGAGGCATTGGGGTAATGTTGTTTTTAATTTAGTGCCTCCTCTGTACAAGAGGTTTAGTTGTAGGTTTTATTGAATTGCTCAGGGACTTTGGGAATAACTTTTATCGAGTACATTGTACTGCTGTATGAGTTTATGTGGCCACAATTTTTCAAATTCTAACTTCATGTTTTTTTTACGCCCATCATGGGTCATTTGGCAACAGCAATTCTATGCTTTAAACTTACGGATCAAGCTGTGTACATCCAATCCCCCCTCCCCCCAACCACAATGGCTGGGAGCCTTTGAGGCATTGGGGTAATGTTGTTGTATTTAATTTAGTGCCTCTGTACAAGAGGTTTAGTTGTAGATTTTATTGAATTGCTCAGGGACTTCGGGAATAACTTTTATCAAGTACATTGTACTGCTATATGAGTTTATGTGGCCACAATTTTTCAAATTCTAACTTCATGTTTTTTTTTTCATTCTTCCCAGGTAGTTCATACTCAAGCCAAGGTAACGGCCGATCAGGATGTGACATATAAATACATATCTAAGAACATGCTTTTTGTGGCTACTGTTTCACCAAAAGCAGCTGGTGGTGATATTGGTTCAGTAATCCCAGACGAATCATTTCTGGTTGTTTATCTTATTGATACTGTAACTGGTCGCATCCTTCACCGCATGGTTCATCAAGGCTCACTGGGACCTGTCAATGCTGTATGATTTCCTATGATTTTATTTACAAATAGCTCTTTCCCTTACAAAACCCTGTCGTCAAAAGGAAAACAATAACATATTCTAAATGCCAAAGGTGAATGTTTATGTGATTTTATTTTGACTTTTGAATCATTTTAAGCGACAAGCCTTTAACACACTTATTCTTGGGTATTCCTCTTCTATACTCTATGCAAGTGACTAAATTTGAATATGCATTTTCTGTTTTAAGGTGCTTAGTGAGAATTGGGTTGTCTACCACTACTTCAATTTAAGGGCACACAGATATGAAATGTCTGTGATTGAGATCTATGATCAATCTAGAGCGGTGTGTCTCATAACTGGATCTTCATTATTTGGTTCTTTTGGCCTGTCCCTAAACTTTGACAATCTGCAGGATAACAAAGATCTCTTGAAACTTGTTCTTCGGAAGCATAATCTTACTAAGCCACTTTCATCTTATTCACGTCCTGAAGTTTCTACCAAGTCGCAGTCTTACTTTTTTGCGCACTCTGTGAAAACAATAGCAGTCACTGCAACAACCAAAGGCATAACATCCAAGCAGCTTCTTGTTGGTACAGTTGGTGATCAGGTTAGGTTTACTCAATGTTTCACGTGCTTACTGTTTGCGATTATGCTATTTTATTGTTCGATGCTTTTTCTTCATGTACACCTTGTAATTTAGATTTGGATTTTGAGGTTGTTGCCTACTTGATGAATTTTACTCATACATGCCAACATTGTATAGGTTTTGGCATTAGACAAACGCTTTTTAGATCCGCGGCGCACAGTGAATCCTACTCAGGCCGAGAAAGAGGAAGGGATAATACCTCTTACTGACTCACTACCTATAATCCCTCAGGTGAAAAAAAATACTCCCTTTATGTTTTTTTTCCTTTTTAAATACACACACACACACACACACATACATACTTCCTTCGTCCCTAAAAGATTGGTTAATGTCAAATTTTTAATCTGGCTTTTGAAGGAAATATTTTTTATTTTTTTTGAAAAATTAATTTATTTCTTCATATCTCCAACGAAGCCAACTGTTCACTATTTTTTGGCTTTGGGGTATGATGGGATATGGCAAAAATGGCTCTCTAAACCGTTTATGCAGTTAGTGAATGCAACTTTCGACGCTCATCATGGGTCATTTGGAGACAACAACGCTCTATGTTTTGAACATAGGGGTCAGCCTGACCCGTGTTACCCCGCAATGGACGGGAGCCGTTGTGGCACTGGGGTATTGTTGTTTGAAAAATAAATTTATTGGGTCTTTTAAGGGAATTCATTAATCTTTGATCGTATGGTAACTTGTGTTCTTTATCAACATGCTTTCTAAAAAGTTAAATAGCTACGTTGTCTTGTAGACATCTGATGGACATAGTTATACTTTATAACGTATAGACAGTATTTGCTATGTCAAGACAAGTGTATTTTCCCCCGTTAACAATAATACTGAAGTGAGTTAAATTTGCAGTCATATGCTACTCATGCTGTAAAAGTGGAAGGTCTTAGGGGCATAGTAACTGTTCCAGCAAAGTTGGAGTCAACCACACTTGTTTTTGCTTATGGAGTTGATCTGTTTTTCACGCGTCTTGCTCCTTCAAAGACTTACGACTCCCTAACGGAGGACTTCAGCTATGCTCTCCTTCTTCTTACCATTGTTGCACTTGTAGTGGCTATTTTCATTACTTGGATCTGGTCAGAAAGGAAGGAGTTGCAGGAGAAGTGGAGATGACTTGACTCAGGTCACTGCCTAGACCCCTCTTTGAGTGTCATATTCCTGTGTTTTGACCTTTTTTTTGTGTTTTACACTCCACTCTCCCGAGGAAGATTTAGGCAGGCTAGAGTTGTGTATTTTCAAATTCCGTCACTTTACCAACGAGAATGTGCTAGCTTTAATTTTTTTTTACTTGGAATGGACACAATCATATTTGTAAGCCTGAATGAACATGGCATATTGTTAGCAGGTTTGGATCTCATTTCCTTTCCAGTTAAATTTTAGTTTTTCCAAATATTGTGTGCAATTGGAGGCCTCTCAAGATCACATCCATAAAGGATTTTGAACCCTTACATGATGCCCAACAACTCTGTATCATCAAAAAATGAAACTTGGCTAGGGTGGTGGTATTGAGGGAAGAGTGTAAGCGGCCTTAAATAAGAGAAATCAACTTTCTCACAACACCTAATTATCACTAATTATACCTCTCAACTCATGGCTTATAAATTTATCCTCTTCATCTCACTAAAAGTATTTGTGGTTGCTGACTATTTAAAAAAGAAAAGTGTTATAAGTTACATCCTTGTACTTTCAAAGAAAAAAAAAAGAAAAAGTAGAAGAGTAATGTTTTTTTGGACATTCTCTAAAAAAGTGAGATTTTTTTTTTGAGATTGAGGGAGTAATAATACTCCGTAACAGTAATGAAGTGTTAATAAAAGCGGTAAGGGAAACAAATAATAATTACATAAGAAGTTTCTTTGGACCATCTTGGAAATTCTAGTGTTGAGATTTTACAAAAATAAAAATTGTTAAGGGTGTTTGACACGGAAAGTGACATTTTCTGTTAGTTCAAGGAACCCAGGATATCACTCTGCCTTTAGGAGAGAATGAATGAATGTGGTATTCTATGATATGCTGTACTTTGACACTACAAGTATTATTATGGGCAAAAGAGCATGCTTAACAATAAACAAAGCATTCTTATTATACAATTAAACACAATATTACAATCACCAAAAACAGAATGCACACAATTCAACACAATATTACAATAGTAATAATATGTGAGCACAAGACTAATGCTCCCTTGACACAATCTTTGGTGAGCAATCGGATGTAGAGTTGTGGCTACACTTGAAGCAGACACAAACTGCCTTCCCCTACCAAAATTTGCAATTGAAGTTTGGTGATACAATGGCATACAAATATAGAAGTTCCAAAATCCTCTGATTGAGCAACAACCAATGCAAATAAGAGCTTGGAAACATAATAAACATTAGAACTGACTAAGTTTATATACTCCCTATTCCCCAATAGGGGGATACTATGTGATAAATATTAAAAGATACGGAGTAAGAAATAAAAAATAGAACATAGAAAAAAAGAGTTGCAAAATAGTGACGGTAGAATATAATAAAAAAATTAATGAGAATGTACGTGTCATCATTGCATTGTTTGTTTGTTTTTTTTTTGCATGTGATTATTCAAACCTTCTAACCCATTAGAGTTAAGGGCAGTGAAACCGCGGTGGGCTATCTCTATCCGGATTTAGTGGTTCACTTATCCTAACCCCGCAAATTAAAAGAATGGATGTGAATATAGACAAAAATGCCATTGAAACAGGCTTTATCCTCTATTAGCCTCTTTTAACTTTAATTTAGTGATTCCCGTAATACAATAAATGCACAATTAATTCCAGACACTCCTAAATGTAGACAAGTACGAATAAATTTGGGCAGACGATCTCATAGCATTTGTGGCACAAATAGTACCCTTGCCCATCATGCACCTCTAGAATTATAAGTGTCTGATGTGTGTGTGGAGATGGATATCGAATCACACAAAAGACCCACACTTTCCAAGAGTTTTATGACAATAATTAGCTTCTTAATCAAAGGAATGTGCATTTCACAATTTTTTTTAAATGATCCATCTGAAAAGATCATTAATACTATCTTTGTCCCGTAATAATATTTCACATTTCTTTTTTCATCTGTCCCATGCTTTCCACTTTTAGAAAAGGTTTAGTACCTAGTCAATCGTGGAACATTATTGTGGGACGGAGGGAGTATATTGCTAGAAATTTGATTTCGACTATGCTGGGTGGCCTTTCCAGTTCACTGCACTATGCAACACAAATATTCCTACCATAACTTATTGTAAATTAAAACATGACTGGGAGAGTGACACATACCAGAAAATCTTCAAAATGCATCCAACCAGCATGGAGTTCGCACTCCATTGTTTCCTGTGTCAATAATAGTTGGGAAGTGGTATGAAACCATTCAGTTTTATCTCATGGAAAGACCTAAGTAAGAAATATTCCAACGACCTCCCCTCCCCCCCCCACCACAAATGGGTACATATATCGTAAGGCTTTCTGATTGTAATACTCCATGAATAATAAAAAATGTCAACTACGAGATGTCACTATTGGAGACACTCAGAACTCACCTGCCTTAGAAAGGAATTTGGGTAAAGATCTCAAACATTAATACCTTCAACTCTATGGCTCCACTCGTCTCAATGTAGGAAGGCAAGAATCGGATGCCTAATCAGTTTGCTATAGTTACTATACTTATTTAATACTTTAAAGAATCAAAGAAAAACTACCTCCGGAATTAATTGTCCACTTTCCACGTTCAATAAGAAATTATGCTGAATTGGCTAAAATATCCTAGAAATAGAATATGAACATTGTTGATATTATTGAGTGACAAACTTACATGACATTTTAAACCAACTTCTAACAAATGGGAACTTTTAGAAAGTGTACAACTAAATGCGGACAGAGGGAATATAGAATTGTTACNTCTCAAACATTAATACCTTCAACTCTATGGCTCCACTCGTCTCAATGTAGGAAGGCAAGAATCGGATGCCTAATCAGTTTGCTATAGTTACTATACTTATTTAATACTTTAAAGAATCAAAGAAAAACTACCTCCGGAATTAATTGTCCACTTTCCACGTTCAATAAGAAATTATGCTGAATTGGCTAAAATATCCTAGAAATAGAATATGAACATTGTTGATATTATTGAGTGACAAACTTACATGACATTTTAAACCAACTTCTAACAAATGGGAACTTTTAGAAAGTGTACAACTAAATGCGGACAGAGGGAATATAGAATTGTTACAGAGACTATTAAACATACAATACTTCATATAATATATCAGCAAACAAAGGGACATGATTCATTGTGATTTCCGGAGTTAACAACATATCCATATCTAAATAGAATATGGCATACATAGAATGGCAAAAGAATGTAGCTTTAATGAGAAAAAAGCCTAAAACTGAGGGAAAATCATAACAAAAAGGACAACCGACTTTAAGTTCTTAAGAGGGAACTCATCTGCCACTGAGATATCTACAAGCATTTGCATAGTCAACAGGTACTTATCCCCCACTACATTGAAAAATGTCAGATCAAACACTGCACATCAATCATATCATTCATCAATGTTACAGGCAACCCGAAATCAGGTTAATGGCATTAAAAATATCAAAAACTTCATATGTCGAACAAGTAAACAAAAAATTAGGTCAACATCAATATCCCCTCTAATCCCGCAGGTAAATCTTATTTTATACAAAAGCATTTAAGTGAGGCAGAAAAATAAGCAATAACAACGCTAATTCCATTAAGCAATGCACAAACCACATAATCTAGCTGATGATGATTTAGTACGCATTTGTGAGAATTGTTTTTGTATATGGTCATTTTATACATAAAGTCTAAACTGTTCCAAAATGCCTTAAAAACACCATAAATAACATATTTGGGACCAAATAACTCTCACAAAAAGCTCTTCCCCCAAAAAATCTGATAGCCATCTGACCAAATCCAAGCAACTGATTTAGCCTAAAAAGTTGAGGAAATCTCTCATTGTCAAATGCCCACAATAAACTATGCACCGACACCGTTTCATGAATTTTGTGTTAACAAAGTTTAGATTACTAACTCATGCCACTGATCGCAACACAACCCCAACATCAACCAAGTATAATCCCAACTCCATTGGGGTCTGAGACAAGACGTAAGCAACTTTACCCCTTATAAAAGGGACATGCTTCCCTTATAAAAGGGACATGCTTTTGTCAGACCCACAATGCACTGTAGTGTTTATTACCAAAAAAAATGCATTGAAAGTAACAAGCGAAGACTAATGTGTCATTTTGATTTAGTCCATTTGCTGAAGCTAAACCATTGTCAATTACGACTTTTTAAGCTCCCTTTGTGACTAACTACAATATATTTGGTATTAATGTGATGATGATAACGATAAAAAAAGGGAGAAATGCTCTTACCAACAAAAGGCTTAGTTCATTGAGCCACGACACCTGAAAAAATGAATTAGAAACACTTCAAGATAATCAAATTTAAACGAAAGCACATGCATTAAAAAAAAATTGGACAATCCACCTCCATGTAGCCCATAGATATGAATGACTAAAAAATGCTCACAACCATGATAAATGTATTGCACCACCAACAACAACAACAACAAACCCAATAAAATCCGAGATAGAGGGCTCTAGGATGAACTACACGAACAAATAGCTAAAATTCAAGACAAAACAGGACGCATGCCAATTCACAAAGCTATATTGCAAAAATGCTATCAAATCCCATGATAAAAGCATTGTTTTGCACAAAAACATAACATATGCAACATACCAAATATGAAATGCAAAGAAAATAACCTTGTGCTTGTGATACTCAAGTGTACAAAAGTAAAATACTTACAATTCATTTACAATTTTGAACACAAACTTAATGAACTGCCTGCTTCTAAATTGATCACTAAGATCTCATGAGCCCGCTCATACTGAGACAAACTTACTCAGGTAATAGCTAGAGAGCACACAATTGACTCCATTACCTCTTAGAACCACAGTTGCAAGGGATCTTTTTCTCCTCCAAAGGGAATTTGTAATTATATGTGATTTCATCGCCGGCAGCAATATGCCTCTTGGCATATATAAAAATCTTTTTCTGACCCTCAACGCTTATGACCTTTGTGTAGCAATTAGGCTGCAACATACCCCATGCAATGACAATAACATAATTTTAAGAGTAAATTCTATAATTGGTCTTTTATAGCATAAGATTTCCCATATTTAGTCCTCTATTATCAAATATTACGCTCTTGGTCCATTTTTTGCTACCTTTCCACAAATATTTTTTTTACCTTCTGTCATGCTGGTATTAATTTGAGGGCAAAAAGTGTAATTTGACATCAACCCTATGTCCAGTGATGTATTCTGATGTCGATTAGACAAACAACACAACAATATTGACTGGTTGTGGACTAGGATGCTGACAAAAGACCAGTAGACTTTGGTTGTAGTAGACAACGACTGCAGTTCAGAGTACGACAATAAAGATATATGATCAGATTACACTTTTAGCCCTCAAATAACACCAACATGACAAAAGATAAAAAAAATACTTTTGGAAAGGTACCCAGAAAAAAGGACTACGAGCGTAATATTTGATATTAGAGGAATATGAAAAATCCCATGTTATAAATGACCTATTAAGGAATTTACTCTAATTTTAATGATACACCTCCCCAGGACACAAACTAGTCCAAAATTTTAGTAGATGAATCACCTCACAAGAATGATTGATGAACCTAGCAACACCCCCACGCTTTGTTGCATCCACCTGCAGAAGTATATATATGAATGTTCCATTATGTATTGCTCAAATTTATTTCTGGTTCTCTAAATAAAGAAAATTGAAAAACATCAATACTGTATTAGAATACTGAAAATTAATTTTCCCTAAAAAGTCTTAGCTATCAGAAACAAGTTCATTTAATATCAAAAAACCACAAGGGTACAAAAATGTTAAAATTTCCTAAAATATAGAAAGTGGAAAAAATCAATAACAAATATCATAATAATGTTACTATTGGCAACTAATCCCCCCCCCCAAAGAGTCTTAGCTAGTGGAAACAAAATCATTTAACATTGAAAAACAACAGAGAAAAGTACATAACAGGGGAAAGTTTCCCGACACATAAATAGCCTCTCTGCAATTTTTTACTTTGAATCACTAGAATAGTGAGATGTGTTGGCAAAGTGTTGTTGGAGATGGCAAAGGTGGCCAACTGCTGAGGGAATACTTTTGTGGCCTCTTGAATGCAGGGGGAGATTCAAGGCTAGAGCTAGGTGAGCAGTGACAGTTAGAGAGGCATTTGGACTTGGGTGGGAGAGGCTTGAGCTAGGTGAGAAAGGGCAGTTAGACATGCATCGGAACTTGGGGTATTGCCCACGCATTAGTCAGGGGAGGTGGCACAGGCCATCTGCGGGATGAGAAGTGAGAGAGGCTTGGGCAGGATGAGATTCCGGTGGAGTTTTGGTAGTATGTGGGCAGTAGTGGGTTAGTTTGGAATTTGGATAACCAAGCTCTTCAATGTTATATTCAGGTTGGCTAGGATGCCTGATGAGTGGAGGGAGAGTGTGTTGGTCCAACTACTTAAGGGTAAGGATGATATTTAGAAATGCTTAACCATACCATGAAGGTTTGGAAGTGTATCATTGGTATAATTGAGTATATGCTGCAAAAGGGGGTGTGCATTTTTGAGAACCAGTTTAGGTTCACGCCTAGCAGAGGTCATTCACCTCCTACGGAAAATGCTCCAACCTC